TCAAAATCAGATACTTGCGAATTATTAAATACAATTCTCAAGAGAGATTTTAACCAGTTTTATTCCAGATTTTATTCTTAGAAAATTGTTTGAAACGATAAGTCAGATTACAATCTTAAATTTCGTTAGTTATTAAATAACATTCACTACATTAAGAAAATTTGTTTTCCGTTCAATTTTGTTTATCAGTAAAGAACTACTTTAAATTCTTATATCTTACACAACTTCAAATATTTCTTAACTGTACTGAATTTTGTATACGTTTTGCACAAACGTAATACAAAAAGTTTATAAAATGGAACCAGGCAAAAATTTAGAAATTAGTTTTAAGAATTTCTCCCTTTTATCTTAAAGTTGAATCTCTTTAAAAACACGCGAATAAAGAGTTACAACGAATGTGTTTAGTTTGAAAGAGTTGAATTTTAAACACTTTCTTACAATAAGAATACTAGTTGCTTCTAATTATTGAGTCAATCTAAATTTAGATAAGTTGGGCAAAATTAACAGTTAGGTAAGAATTTCCAAAAACTAAGTGATCGCCCAATGTTTCCAATCAGACTAATCTGAATGATAACTTGAAATAGACAGTAAAATATCTAAGAGTTAAAATCTTACAATTTTCTAGATGACTACATAAAACGTTCAACATCTTACTTAGAGTTAAAAATTCGAGTAAGGAAAGACTTAAAAAAAAAAGGAAAGTAACATTAAAGATCTTAAATATCTGTATCAGTCTAATACAATGTGTAGGCAATTAATATGAAGTGTACAAACTAAAACAATTCCACAAAATATAACGAGTTCTTGACCTGTATAGAGTCCTTATTCAACTCTTTGCATCTGCTATTCATTTTCATGTAGTAAACCATTTTGTGCAGATTCTAGTAGAAGATTTTTCTCTTTGCATCCGAGACTCAGTTTCACGAAGTAAAGCATAGGTGAAGATTCCAATAGAAGTGGCTAATTCTAAAAAGTAAACAAATTGTCAATTTCAGGATTTGTGTTAAAACAAAAAGAAATTTCATGTAAAAATTACTTACATTTTACCTGAATAACAGTTTAAACCTGACGCAGACTAGTTACGAAATAAATCGTAAAAATGAAACAAATGGCTTCTTAAGCAACTTTTCACTAAAATTGATGAGACTTAAAAAATTTTCTAAGTCATTTTAAGAAAATTTCTAACTGACATGAAATGCAATTAAAGTTTAATAATCATTTAGAACTCTTCAAAGAGATTTCTTAGAAAAACCGATATTTACAATTAAGAAAAGTTTAACAATTCAAGTTTGAGACGTAAGACTTAATATATAGTATGCATTATAATACTTTAAGACTTCAAAATTACTAACAGAAACTCCAAATTCAGAAGACATAGTCAAACCGAACTTGAACAGGAACAGAATTTGACAATCACGGTTTTATATACACATTGATCGAGTACAAGGTAAAGCTTAAGGTTTCGCTTGCACAAAACAGTTGTGAAAACTTCTGTCTTTTGCCAGATTTTATTTAACTTTCTTTAAAAAATTTTAAAAGACTTTTCTTTATTATTTACAGAAATCTAACTAACTTTTAAATGTAGATCAATGTCTTAAATTTATTAAAAACTATCAAAAATAATTTTATTTTAAGATTTGTCTTAACCCTCAAGCTGCGTAATTTATTAAAAAGAATTGAAACATTACGCAGTTTTATTACATACTTTCAAGTATGTACATTTTAGAATTAAAACATACAAAAATCTTTCACTAAAGTATTTTTGAGATAAAAAATTAGATAAAAAGCCTATCAGAAGAAATGTGAGAATCATAAAAACAAAATTTTAAAAATCCTTGGTTCAATGATTTATTTTATGAAAAACATACTGTAAATATTCAATTTGCAGAGTAATAAGGAAATTTACTAGAAATTTACAGCCTGAAATTGAGTTTGCGCCTAAAGAACTTTACTAAACAAATATTTCACAGAATATAATACAGATAACATACACACCTTGATGCGATGTCCTTGACGACAGAATTCATTTCTGCTTGAGTCTGTTAATCAAGAAAAGGTTGATAGTTCTTTCCATACCGTTAAATTCTCCGTTCAGCAATGGTCAAGCTGCAATTAAACATAAACTATAATTACTGGTTCGTGAACAACTTATATTAGTGAATGAATGCAGTCAAAATGATATTTTTCATTAAAATGAAATTTTCAGTTTGAAATATTATTGTAAGCAATGTACAGATTTACTGTAGCCAGCGAACTAAACTATTTTGGTTGAAAGACAGAAGAAAAATTTATCTGCTAACAGAATATTTTATCAAGCAGATTGTTTTTAAATTCAAGATTTATTTTACAACATACGAAAAAAAAACTACCAAGTTCAATGAAATTTTCGTTTGAAGATTAAATCTAGCAACCAAGAGGGTGATCAAACTGAGCCATTACCTAGCATTGGAGAGTAATTTTATCTACTTTACCATTGAACAAAATTTAATAAAGTTCTCCTTAAACACCTTAGAAATTCTTTTTAAAACTTTCGTAGGAGCTTTTCAAATTATCTATCTNGAGGATGCCGTGTGTTGTAGATTTCCTGTAGCCAGCGCACTAAACTATTTTGGTTGGAAGACAGAAAAACAAATTTATCTGCTAACAGAATATTTTATAAAGCAGATTGTTTTTTAATTCAAGATTTATTTTACAACATACGAAAAAAAAAACTACCAAGTTAGATGAAATTTTCGTTTGAAGATTTAATCTAGCAACCAAGAGGGTGATCAAACTGATCCATTACCTAGCATTGGAGAGTAATTTTATCTATTTTACCATTGAACAAAATTTAATAAAGTTTTCCTTAAACACCTCTGTAAATCTTTTAAAAATTTTCGTAGGAACTTTTCAAATTATGTATCTTTAAGATTATGTATCTTTAAGAAGCATTTAACAAATCATAAACTAAGGATGCCTAGCAGATTTTTTGATCCGAGTAAGTTGCTTTTATAACATAATGGTCTAAATACGTTTCATTTTCTATGGCCTAAAATCACTTTGTATTGTTTCTTATGATTCAAATTCTTTCAGCTGTCAAGAGCATAATTAAGCAAATTGTATATTATATATAAATTAACAGTTCATTCTGTATCAATGTATGCATAATCATTTCTTAGAAATGTTTTGAAATGCTATGCGCATAAACACTTCGTAATAGTTAAGTTTCTTAATTATAAAGTAATTTTATCTTTTCATACAACAAAACATTTCATACACATCTAAAACTATACTTAAATCAGTTTTACAATTATTGAGCTGAAAATTACGATATTTACTTTAGTTAGTTGTTTAAAACTTTAAAAACGTGGTGTTAAAATAATGACAAGAGTGAGACATTTGGAACTAGCATTATGCCTTAGTTCTAAATAATCTAACCAAAAATTTAATAGTATAAAAATCAAAATTTCGGGCATTCATAAATCAATATATCGAAATCCAAGTTCACGAGATTTAAGAAATTGAGTGAAACTTGTTTCATTTGAAATTAAATAAATTTATTTAAAGTTATGAAGCTGTAGATACTCGTGGAACAACTTTTTTTTATTTAAAAATCAATTCACGCAAAAATTAATGAAACATAAAAATGAAAGTAAACTTATCTGTAAACATTTGTCAAACAACAGGAGATGTGTCCCACAAATGTGAGTCAGTGGCGTATTTAATGTTTGGGTGAAGAATGAGCGAGTGTTGTCTTTTTTATATGAGAGGGCGGGTGCTTGGGATCGCTTCCGTCTGTTTGTTTTTGTCACAAAAACCATTTTTTTCTCTTTTGCAGCCTCCATGACCGCAAAGGATTTTTTTAAATCTGTGATGGGTCCCGCAATGGACTGATCGTTCAGACACGGTTCTCAGCAGATCATCGAAGTCAAGCAACACTAGCTAAGCTACGGTCAGTGTGCAGATTTGTGACCACATGTAGCAGTCCGAGTAAGGTTCGAGGGCTTGCGGTATTGATTCTCACTAAGCTGTTCGACTTAAGCTCATAATGTGTTCGACTTCGCAGGTCGGCCGTTGACCCATCGAAGCGGGAATGCAATTCTCTCTACAGAGGATTATAATTGCAATGGCATGTCTTCTGATCATCTTCTGGGATGTTTCCCAGACTGTCGCCAATAGCCCATTGTGCAGCTCTCGTGTGGCGTAAATAAAATACCCACTTACCTACTTATCTCTGATGGTATTTTTTATCTAATGAGTGCCTAACAATATTTGATGTTCTCCAAAGGTGTTGGAACTGGTACACTTTATGTGTTGCTTGCGGCACTGCTCATTGAAAACAAGGCAATAAATCACTTCTTTTTTATCCTTTATTGCTGAATTTTCTTTATTCAACTTCTTTCACGATAATTCTATAATTTCAGCTCATCTCTCTCAAGATACAGAGGATAAAAGAGAGAAGTATATACATCCTCTTCATCAACTGAACTCTGTGACCGAGCGGGCTCTGTCGCGTAGAGATAGCGGGTTCAAGTCCCATCGTTCACCCTGGTGTCTTTGTGATGTCCTGATACGTACTATCTGTTCTTAAATTTGACAAATATCTTATAAGCCACTTCTGTTATGAGCAATATAGCAGTACTATTTTATTTGTCATTTTTGATCGTATCAAATACTCAATATTCTTACCAAACAAATACAGTCGAATCTAAAAACGTCATGTACCCACTATTGAGTTTAGTGATGCGTTCAAAATTGATACATCATACCCTCATGAATATTGAAGCATAAAAGTTTTAATATAATTTTGAACGAAGTAATTTTAGATGACAAAATTCGCAATTGGGAACAAAATCATTCGAATGTTTTTTGAAAAATTAAAATTTCAAATTAAGGTTGTTGTTTTTTTTTTAAATTTCCTATCTGAATTCGGCTATTTGAACATTATTCGAACACACTATCGTTTTAATACNGACGTAAGTGAACTACTACTACTACTTCAAAGGGAAGTAGCGTTGTATGAGATCGCAAGTTAACTAGACACACCGGGATGCGTCCTGGTGGGGGAGTCCATCTCTGCATTGTTTTATTCCTCCCACAGTGGTAATGATTGTAAGATCGCCGAAGTCTTGCATTTCTTGCAGTGGTTAGTGAGAGGGAGGGTGACAATTTTAATCAGCCCGTGAAGGGACAGAGGGTGTGTCCAATCGGTCCTCGTTGAACTGTTTCACAGTAAAGTACTCGATTGCAACAAGCTTAAAGATATTTTGCCAAACTTTTGGATAATTTAAGTATTTTGCTAACAGTCTCAGTACAAGTATTTCGCATTCTTTTAGCAAAGTAAAATCCACCGAAAACCTATTTAAGATGCACAAAGGCACAAGTGAGTTTTATAGCAATGATTTTCTATCGAAAATTAAACCTATAGACAATTGATTTTGAAGATTCTATTTGCTTTTGCTGAACAACGAAGTAAATACGTTTTAATGTTCGTATATTTCTTTGTCAGAAAATACTACAATGATAAAAAATATTACTTTTAATAAATATTTATATTAGAATACTTGAGGTAATATTCTCATTCATTAAACTGACGGATTTCATTTTTTGATTTTAATCGTGTATTTCTTAAATCAACATTCTGGGGTTTGATATAGATTTTATATTTTTCTGGTTGTAATATTGTAATTTTAAAATGTAAAAAGCAATTTTATGCAGCATTATGGCTGCACCAGAGAGGCAATTTAAAAGGTCTATTTTTAAAGATAACTTTTTCAAAATTGAGCACTGGTTAAGGGGCATTGCCCGGTATACATTTGCCCAGCATACAATATACTAACGGTTTTTGAAGGACAAGTGCCCAGTATGCATTCAACTCCGAACACTGGTGTTTCTCCTAATCTATCCTCAGCAGTTACTTAAATTTCGAAAAAGTATAATAATATCAACGAAAAAATTTATATCAAATCAGATATTACAAATATTTTGGACATTCACCAAAGCGACTATGTGATTGTTGACGTTCATTGGAGAAAGTCGACATTGTCTTGATTTCAGTCATTCACAGTGACATATATACAAAAGAAAAGTAAGAACCGGTTAATGAATATTGTAATTTTTTTCTTTCAGAGGATTGTAAGTGTCAAGATTGGTGGAGTTGCATAATGTCTCAAAATATACTGTAAGCCAATTATTATTTTATTTCTATAATTAATATTCTAGAAAATCATATGTCGATGTTTAATAAGCTATGCGAATCAGAAATTACTACCTAAAATTACTGATACGTGTATTGAATTTATTTCTTTTCATTAAAAAATTTAAAAATCATCATATTCATCATAATAATTATTCATCATAAAAAATTTAAAAACAAAATCAACAGATAATTTTGCAACTTGAAATTATTTAAAACATTGAAATAACATAACATAAGTTAATACATGATCTTTAAATAAAAATGAATTTTTTGCATATGTATTTTTGGTAAAAACAAACTATATATATGTATGGGTGATTCTCACGAAATATAACAATTTACAGTCACTTGCTAAGATTTAATAGTAAACTACTAAAAGAGCTTTTTTTTAAAAAAATTTAATAAATAGCATTGTTGTTAGCATTTTAAAATAACCTTGTACTAGCATCGACTGTTTTCTATATTTAAAAAATTCAATTGAATTTCAAAATTCCATGTTTCTGGAAAGTCACAAACAATGTTTCCAATAATAATTAGCTTCAAAACTTCCTATAAATTTTTGAATATCTAGTTTTATCTCAACCGGTTTCTAGATTATACGCAGAGGGTATTATTCACAAAAACTGCGTTTAAAATAATTTTTTCTGTCAATAATTTGTTTGTCACAAGAAAATCTGTTATTTTCCGGGCTACTTTTATTTAGTGGTTTATAACCAAAATAGATAGAGCCAGCAATCAATATCTTATGTTAATAGATTGATTAGATACCCTCCTATATGAACACGTCTTATTTCATGAATAAAGAACCAACTTTCTGGTTCAAAATCTACTTCAAAAAAGTTTTCAAGGTGAGTAGGTTTTTGTGTTGTCATTTTCCTGGCTTCTTGAAATCATTAATAACATAAACTACATAGATTTATCTGAGTTATTTCAAATAATCCTGTTGTTTTCTGCAGAAAATAAACGTCTTAGGCCAAAATATTAAATTAAAGTTATATGCTATAAAATGGCGAATTTGTCATTATCCTGGCTTATGAATGCCAGGACATTGAAGTGTTACCAGAAATTTTTTATAACTGCTAATACTGTGAAGAGATAAAGCAAATTATAACCTAATACTAAGTTTATGTATGATTGTAATAAGATTGAATGTAATCAAAGTTATTTATTTATTTAATGATTAATTATTTTACACAATTTTATTCTGTACATATCAGCAACAAGAAATGTCTTGATTCTTTCTACAGTAGATTAAAGAATTAATTTAAGTTTTTCATACTCCATCTAACATAGAGGCTCAGGTTTTGTTACTTACTAATAGCTTAAAATGACTGTTTTTTCAAACTTGTAAGCTGATATGTCATTTTCCTGGCATTCAAAATGTGGTAAATGTCAATAAACTACACGGCTGTCTGTAAAATATTAATAAATGTAACTAAATAAATATACAAAGAAATATTTAGATTGTTTTGATGACTGTAAATTTGAAGAAAATTTTGTGGTCCGAATTGTCAAGTTTCCTAAGAATCACCCATATAACAGGTACCCTGTTGAACTATTATATTTCATTCTTTTTCTCACTCGGTTTTTTTGTGCTGGACGAGACATGCCGAACCTACAGTTTTATGTTCAATGTTGCATTTATAATCCTCCATCAACTGTTATATAGTATGTTGTAGATATCGTTGTATATTTGCAGTGTTCTTGAATTTTTTTAAATGCAATTCCGTCATTGACATGCATGCCGCTATATGGCACGAGATATGCATTTCGGTGACACGCAAATGTTCATGTTAAATTATTATTTTTAATTAGGTACCGGCATTCCAAGAATATCACAATACCTACACGTGTGACCCATGATGTCAGTGCCAGCTGATAAGCAAAATGGCGTGTTAAAATTCAGCTAAGAGGATGGGAAAAGGGCCGTTAACGGCCTCTGGCGCTCAGATAAATTTTGATGATGATGATGAAAGTTGAGCTAAGTTTCTCCTCATAAGTTAGAATGTTAATTAACGTGAAGTTAATTAAATACACTCCGTATCACACACGGACTTTGTTGAAATATAATTCTTTCTCGTCTGCGTCTTTCATTTAACTTGGATTTATTAGTTGTTATATATTTTATTGTTATCGTGTTATATTTTTGTGTACGTGTACCTGGCAACTTCGATGCGTAATTAGTTTATGTTCTAAATGGCTTCTTGCCTGTCTTTGTGCTAAGTAAGAAATATATAGTGAAAGAATATAAAATGAGTCACCCAAGAGAATTGATATTTCTAGGGCTTCTGGAAACATAATGAAAAGAACAGTTGCTAATGTAAACAAAAACCCACGTTTCAACTCCCTATCAGGTGCAAGATACCAACACTACTTCAATTGCAGGTGTCCGATTACATTCATTGAAAAAAACTCCAATACTTTCAAAAGCGGGAAACATAGACCCTAGTGTACATAGTGACATAGACTCCTCAACAATGAAGGCCGATGTCGTCATAAGCTTTATCTTGAAAAGTATGGGTGTTTTAAAGATAGGCTCCAAGCTAAATTTATAATTTAAAAACTTGTCACGTGTTTTCGTCTATAAATTGTAAGACTATATTTCTGGTTTAAGCCAAGTTAATAACTAAACAGCAAAATTTTCTACATAAAGTAATTCTGTGGTTTGATATAAAAATTTTGACTTACAGACTGAATTTTAAAAATAAATACCGCACGCGGAACGCCGAAAAATATTTTATTGTCCTTTAACTGACATTCTATACAATAGAGTGTAAACACAGATACTCTCATTTTATTGCTCATATCTTAATATCGTTTCGTTCGACACCTCAATTTCTCATGCACTATGATTCTTCATTAACACCAATCGCGGTTCTTTAACTGCTGTGTAAACAGGGGTGTCAGTTTTGCAAAAATAAGGGATTGAAAACGAATCATAGTTTTTTTCTTTTTATCGCTAAAAAGGCATTCAGAGAATTTCTTTTTAATCGCCAGAAAATCCGTCTTTTGAAGAACTGAATCTGTGATGTCTTTAATTAAATTCCTACTTATTAGTTCACACTGTCTCTATATCTTGTTCAAATTTTTAATCATTAATAAAATACTTTTTTTATGCATTCACTCTCAAGTTCAAATACGTTTTTTTTAAACTTGTAGCAGAACACTTGATACAGTTTTTTCTAATATGAATTCATTATATAAATTTAATAAATTAATTTTAGTTTTTTTATTGGAGAAAAAATTGTTATTATTTAATAAAAATCAAGCAAATTTTTCTTTGTTAGGACTTTATATTACTTGTTTGTTTCAGAGGTGAGAGTAAAATCCAACCCTATCATTTCTCGTCATGCAGTTTGCAAGATTACATCAGGGCACTCCGAGTGGGACATGGAATATGCCTTTTCAACAAACCCAATCAGGTGATTTTATTGTTGATGATGATGAAAATCAGTAGATATTTTAAAGAACAAACAATATCTTCAAAATATCTTAAGATATGTGAAAAAACATCTGCAGAAAATCCAATTATTTATTTCAATAGTATCTTGAAATAATTCAAATGATTCTCTCCATAACATTTCTTTGAAATAATTTGAATTATTCTTTTAAAAGCGTCTTAATAAAATAATTGAAATAATTCTCTCCGTAAAAAATGCTATTGAAATAATTTCAATTAATCTTTCAATAGGAAGCTATTGAAAAAAATATCAATTATTCCTTCAATAGCCAGTTATTGAAATAATTCGAACCTTAGAGTGGTAGTGAAATAACTTCAGTTATTCCTTCAATTGCGTCTTAATAAAATAATTGAAATAATTCTCTCGGTAAAACATGCTATTGAAATAATTTCAATTAATCTTTCAATAGGAAGTTATTGAAAAAATATCAATTATTCCTTCAATAGCCAGTTATTGAAATAATTCGAACCGTAGAGTGGTAGTGAAATAACTTCAGTTATTCTTTCATTATTCTTTCAATTGCGTCTTATAAAATAATTGAAATTAATCTTTCCATAGAATGTTATTAAAATAGCTTCAATTATTCTTTAAATAGCGTGCTATTAAAATATTTCAAGCAATTCTCTCCAAAGCACATATTATTGAAATAATTTCCATTATTCTTTCAATTACATGTTATTGAAATAATTTAAATTATTCTTTCAATTACATGTTATTGAAATAATTTAAATTATTCTTTCACTAGGCAGTTATTGAAATAATTTCAATTATTCTTTCAATAGGCAGTTATTGAAATTTCAATTATTCTTTCAATAGCATGTTGTTAGAATAATTTCAATTTGTCAATGATTAGCATGTTATTGATATAATTTTGTTTACAGCTTGAAGATTTTCGTACTTGTGGTAATGGAGTTATTGAAGACGGAGAACAGTGTGATTGTGGTAGCATAGAAGTGAATATCATGTTCTCTAGCCTATACATAACACTTTAAATTGATTAGTAGGCGTTGGTCACTCATAAAATTGATTTATTTATTCTTAGGAGTGCCTCCAGAGCGATCCCTGTTGTGATCCAATCACGTGCAAGCTGCGAGTAGAAGCTGAATGCTCAGCTGGACCTTGCTGTGAAAATTGCAAAGTAAGTATAGTTTGTCTAAAGCTTGAACTCCCCTATCCATTCGTCTGGTGGTGACTATGGTAAAGAGCTGTTTCAAGTTGGGGTGTGGAGTCACTGTTTAGGACAGGTTTTGGATCGGCTAAAGAAAGCGAATCTTTTTCTTCGGTCTACTGAGTCAGACCTAGAGTGAAGAGAAGCTAAACTCCCTGAAATGTGCTATTCTTGCTTCCATTATAGCAGAAGGCCTGAGATTTTGTGGCGGGGGTTGTTCTTACCGTAAACGAACTATCGCAGTTTATCAGAGCTTATTTATTTTTGAAACTATGATTATCCTTCTTAACTACATTTCTATTTATTTGGGGGTTTTTTTCAACATGTGAGGGAAGGAAATCTTGATTTTGAATTTTATTTTATTTTTACTTTATTACCATTATTGAACAACCGACCCAATTTTTTGGTTTACAAAAACTAATGTTCTACTTACCCTTGCAATTTTGAACCCAGTCCAGAAGACAAGGAAATTCCTGGATCAAGTATTGTGAGAAATTTGCCTTCGGGGAGGACTTTTTGATGGAACTAACCCGAACATGGAGAGGAAGACCACGACAACCTTCCACGGTTAGCCTCACGGCAAGGGGACTCTAACCCATCCGTCTACCACTGAAGATATTTCACGTCAGCACTGTGATCGATGCAAGCCAAATGCGGAATTCGTATCGACCAACCATCCCCGGGATTCGAACCTGGTTCACCTCATTTGAAGGCGAAAGCTCTCGATCACAGCTCAGATTACCTGTAACTCTTAAGAGGAGGCAATACCAAAAAATATAGAAAGGAGAAAAATTCCTGAATACGTGGCTATCGCCGTAAACTGCTCGGCGCGGTTCGCTATACCAGAAAAACAACTTACAGTATGAATAACATACTCAGGTTTAGCAGAGCGTTTTGTCATATTAAGATCTAGCTCGTGCGCATAAGAAGCGAAGTGACAATCAGGAGTTGAACATTCTTACATGCATGCCGCCGTTTTATTCTTTCTTTCGATACCAAAATGTGTAGGCAGATTTGATTAACATGGATGACGTAAATGCATTCTCAAATAAATATCTAAATTTTAGTAGAATAGTAAATTTTTAACATTAGTGTAAAGAACAAACTAACAATAAATAAAAACTTTTCTTCCTCACCTCGATCCCTGTATTGGTTAGGAGGAGAGAAGGGTGCAAACCCGTTTATAGAATATCTGCTGTTGTTTTTTAATTCCTACTGTTAGTTCACACACTATATCTTGTTTAAATTTTTAATCGTTCATAAAATACTTTTTATTCAATCATTCAAGTTCAAATAAATTTTTTTAAACTTGTAATGAATGACACTTGATGTTAATACAGTTTTTCAACTATTAATTCATTCATCAAGTGGGAATTGATTTTTTAAAAAAAAATTTTTTTTGTTCTTCATTGAAAATGTCGATTCAACTAAAACGAAATGTACATTAAAGGCGATAATTACAAAAAAAAACCTGCATAAAGCATCAAAACCTTTTTTTTTTTCAGTTGCGACCTGCTGGACATCTGTGTCGTCCTGCCTTGACCGAGTGTGATANCGTTTCAATACGCAGGGAAGCCTGAATGGAAACTGTGGGACAGATGGTCACGGAGGATATATCAAATGTTCCGAAGAGTAAGTCTTATATATCTATGAGTTATAACTATAGTAGGTGCATGGCGACTTCACCAATGTTTATTTAAAAAAAAACTAAGAAACAATGTGTTCAACATCATTTTTCACCGTAGTTTGTGAGCAGTGTACAGTATTTTATGTGCAAAAATACTCATAATGATAAACACTTTTTTGCAACCAAATATGCCAAATTAGCCTTTATGAAAGCAGTAACTGGGGAAGGAGATTTAACTTTGAACTGTACAAGATTTATAAACAACCCGATATTATTAAATACATTAAAATTAATAGAATGAATAGGATGACCCACGTGATTCGAATGAGTAATGACGATACAATGAAAAAGATGCTGTTTTTTGGAGCCACTGGAACAAGAAAACGGGGAAAGCCATGGTAGAGACGGGCTGACTCGTTGGAGTCTGATTTTCTTGCAATTAATGAAAAGAATTAGAGATCAAAGATAAATTGGAAGTCTTTGTGTAGAAATCTTCAGAGGAAGACATTGGCCCACATTTAGCTGTCTGGCCAACTATGATGATGAATGAAGAGAACTGGAGATCAAAGATAAATTGGAAGTCGTTGTGGAGAAATCTGCAGAGGATGGCATTGACCCACATTGGGCTATCTGGCCAACTATGATGATGAATGAAAAGAATTGGAGATCAAAGATAAATCGGAAGTAGTTATGGAGAAATCTGTAGGGGAAGGCATTGGCCCACATTGGGCTGTCTGGCCAACTATGATGATGATGATGTTTTTTCAGAATATTAGTTGTCGAGGGTATATAAATGGTGAAACAGTGTGACACATGGTGAAACATTTAAGAAAATGGAGTTATGCGAAGCATGATTTGCTGTGGTTTGCTTAGCGGAAAGCCTATTTAGTCCTAAAATTTTGATTGCGCCCTTCGTGGTCTGAGGGTGATTATGGTCAAAAAAGGCATTAAAAATAAACATAAAAGATTTTTCAACCTAACTCTTATGATCTTGACTGCCTTATCTGACTTCTTTTTTAAGAAATGCGAAATTGCATAGCCATAAATAGCTTTCAATTGCTCAGCAATGTTCAACGTATTGCTTAACTTAGAAAAATCGTCGTTCTTATAGCTTAGTTGTTGTCGTAAGGCATTGTTTTGCATTCTAAGATTTCGTATAGAGCTTCATTAGTCGTATAAGCGCTCTATTTTTAAAAACTCTTCAACTAGTTTGATGTCTTTAAAAGTATTCTTTTCTACTCAAATGGCGCAAAATTAAATTCTTTAATGAAAATTTTGCCTATTTTATGTGAAAATTGTTTGTTTTTGATCGAAACATCTTGGGAATTTTGACCCTATTTTGATAGTTTTTTATTTCTATATATGAAAGTTGAGCTCCATGTTTGTGAATGTGCTTCACTAGCGTAACTCTTCATAAAGGAAGTATACTTTCTTCTAAATTCATTAATTGTCAACGGGAAGGATATTTCCCACTTATGATTAATGCGACCATCTCTCGAGAACTTCAGAAAATATAAGAAAAAAATACTAATTATGAGAGCTTTGTTTACATAAATGGGACGTCAAGGAATGAGGTATTTCCTTTTGCGAATTTTGTGTTCATTCATTTAATCATATCTCATGGAGTTTATTTGTAGTTATGAACCTCGGTTATAATTCGGTATATTCGGTAATCATTCGATAAATTCGGTTATAATTCGACAAATTCAGATATAGTTCGGTAAATTCAGTTCTTTATAAATGCAGTTTAAGTTTATGGATGATTTGATACAGAAGATGAAAATTTAAAATTTCGGAATGGGGAAAAGGTTTTTTTTCCTTGCTCCCTTACTTCGCTAATCCTGCTCACCTCCTTAATCAGGGTGCGTAGCTATTTTTAAAAAGGGTTTAATTTTCTATCTTTTAAAAAAATATTGTTTCTTTACGATATCGATTGTCGTTATAAATTAGAAAAAATGCATGATTTTCTCAGCAATAGTTATCAGAAACTAGTTATTTAACATGATTATGCGAAGTTTTTGAAAATGTTTTCGAATTTCATTGATTTTATGTTTATAAATTAAGAACTTTAAACGATAGAAAAAAAAAAATTTTTATTACTGCACAGATCCTAATCATGATTTTTTTTTTTTATAAAAATGGTTGAAAATATTTTTGAGTGCTTAAAAAGTACTTAAAAGGAGCTTATTTTTTGTTGAAAAATCTGGCTACGCACCCTGTTAATTGCTTCGGCACCTCATGGAGCCAGCTATTGGTTGAGCAGGAGAAGATATTCGATGTTCTCAGGCGACGGAGTGTTTTGGCTTTCCTTCAGCATGGAGAGGAGTAACAACAAAATTTATAAAATTCTCGCTGCTATAAAGAATTCTCTTAAGATTTTTGGTTATAAAGCCAAATAAATTTCTTTTTTAATTCTTTATTCTTAAAGCCAAATAAATTTCTTTTTTTATTATAAATCTCTATGAATAGTACAATTATCATCATTAAAATACCAAAAATATTTAAACATAAGCTTACTAGAAAAAAAAATTGTGTTGTGATATTTTAAAAATCAGTTAACTTTTTTTTGTAACCATAGTGTCCCCTTGATTTGTATAAGAAAAATGCGAGCCCCTGCAATAAAGGAGAAGGCTTCTGCTTTCACGGCGACTGTCCCGCCCCTGATACTCAGTGTGAATATCTCTGGGGCTTTGGTAAGTCCTTCACGCTTTTTCTTTTTTATTCTTTTTTCAGACTGCGTATGGTTTTATTTATTTTATTTTGTAACCGTCGTTGCACAGCCGATCCAATTTTTGGATTCAAGACTACTAATGTTCAACGCTGTAACCTTGCAATTTGGAACCCAATCCAGAAGACGAGGAAACTCCTGGATAAGTACCCCCAGAGGTATGATTTGTTATGGGAACATCGAGTACCTTCGGACTCGACAGATTGAACGTCACTACCATTCTGTCACCATTTACTTAGTTTTGAAATTTTGAACCCGATCCAGAAGACAAGAGAACTACTGGACCAAGCATTGGGAGAAATTGGCCTTCGTGGAGGTCTTGATGGAATTAACCCGCATTTGCGTTGCATGGAGAGAAAACCCACGAAAACCTCCCATGGTTAGCCTGACGGCAAGGGAACTCTAACCCATAATCCCTCTACCACTGATGATATTTTGTGTCAGAAATAGGGTCGGTGCGAGCTGGGTGAGGATTTCAAATCGATTCCAGGGTCAAACCTGGGTCACCTAGAGCGCTCTATCTCCTGAACCACCACGGCTCAATGTTTTTAACTTACCGATTTTTGCAAAATCTCTTATTTTTCCCTTACGTAAGTTTGATATTTTTTCACGGGTGCATTTCACCAGACCTGGAGCATGCGCACTATAAGGGGGTGCCTTTTACATATAACTACTTAATCGAAACTTGCAGAGTTAAAAGTTTTTTAACGAATTTGAACACGCAAACAAAAAGTCTCCAATTTTATATATTAACCCTGATATTCCTGTGACGCATTTTAATTCACAATGTTTACTTATAAAGCATTTGAAAAAAGAAAGTACAAAAATATTATGGCTTATAAAGAGATGAGAAATACTGTAATAATTCTTTTTTTACTAAAAATCATTATGATTGTCATTTGAATAAGGAAATTTACAGGCATAAATTTTTGACTTATTTACATAGGATTTTAAAAGAATGACCATACTTTGGAAAACAACGAAGCTTTGCTTTTACATAAATATGTTGTTTTTTCATAACAAATATACACTTTACTCAAAACAATTTCTTCTTTTTTTTTGTTATGCAGAGATTTTGCTATTTTAGCACGATTGTGATTCATAAATGATTTGCCCCATTAATGCATGTTTTTAATGCCTCAATACTCGTGCGATGATTTGCATTAACCTTTGCCTCTTGCAATTCTGATCTGAAAATTATGTCGGAAAAATTTTACTGCCACCCGATTTGAATTGCTTTGGTCTGCTTGCGACGGAGCTCCGTCTTGTTGGAATGTCTACACACTGTTCTTGAATCATTTTTTCAAAAGTTATTCAGAGTGGTTCGTTTTTTTTTTGGCCCACTGTACATACATACCGGAAGCTCAGTGTCTCAGTGGTGGCGCTTCGATCTCTCGCGTCACAGATCCTGGGTTCGATCCTCGGCAGGGCACGGTTGACTCAGCCTTTCATCCTTTCAGTGGCTCGATAAAGTGAGTACCAATCATACTTGGGAACTAAACACTGGGGTTTCCGAGTTCGGCTGACTACCTAATCGGAACATCCGTTCCTGCACCACGGAGCACAAGGTCAAGAAAACTGAGATGGGCACAGTAGTCCTTGGCCCTCTAGCAGTAGTACCTTCAAATATTTTATGTCCAATCGTACCTAAATGTTTACTGTATTTCATTTGATACTGCTAGTTTGTAGTAGCTATTTTGATTGCTTGTAATCATTACCGATTTGTAAGTAGTTAATGTTTTGTGTGTCCACCACCAGGTGCTGTCGTATCGGAGAAGGAGTGTTTTGTCCGTTTCAATACGCAGGGAAGCCTGAATGGAAACTGTGGGACAGATGGTCACGGAGGATATATCAAATGTTCCGAAGAGTAAGTCTTCCTTCCCTAGATTCAACCTTAAAATAATCTCTTTCACGTTGATACTGGTCTCTACAACTACTGAACCGATTTTAAGGATATGTACATACATTGATACGATACAAAACAAATAAACATTCAACAATTGTAATACACACTCGTGACACTCGTTGGAGTCGGAAGGTATGAAGCATCGGTTGCAGAATAAACAAGACAAAAATGGGTTTATAGGGGGTAGGGTCCCCTCTTACAGATATGCAGTCCTTTCGGCGTGATTTCATAGTTGAAATAAGGCAGTTAATCATTTCCTGTTGCAATTGGCCTATTTCATACCTTCTGACTCCAACGAGAGTTACGCGCGATCACGAGTGTGCATTACAATTGTTGAATGGTTATTTGTTTTGTATTGTATCAATGTACGTACATATCAAATGTCAATAAAATCGGTCCAGTAGTTCTAGAGATAATAGACCCAGTCTGCAAATTCTCTTAATTACTTACTCCAGTGGTATTTCGACATTAAAATAAACATCCAGAGTAGGCAACTCTTACCCAATGATCATAGAACTTCTAGTAAAATGCAAGTAAAAGGAATGAAATAGTTTTCGACACTATCGATAACACTGAATATTGATTTCAATAGTAAACTGTAATGAAAGGAAATAGGGGGTCATTTTAAATATGTGGTCAACAAAAGGTGCATTCTTTTTAAATATGCCGCAGAGCTCTTAATAATAGCGGAATATTTTTTTTTAAGTCACCGACAACTCTGCTATGGTTCGTCTATAGAAAGAACTCCCCTCGCCATGAAGTCTGAAGCCGTCTGTTGCTATGGAAACAAGAAATAGCGCATTTTAAAGAGGGGAGTCCCTTTCTCTCATCCGCCCGAGCCAAAACCTATCCCAAAATAATGATCCAACATCTCTACTTGAAATAGTAAAATCTCGTAACCATAGTCACCACCACTATTCCACCAGACCAGCGGTCAGTGGAGTTTTTTATATAGACAAACTGTAGTGGTCGCCTGATGGTAAGTTCATCATAAACCATTATACTTTTTGATGGTAACCAACATAAGTAACAATCACTCCAATTTAGGAATTCGGACTAATTTATGATGGTCCAACTTAAGAATAGCAACTTGTTTTGATGGTTTGTTCATGTTGAACCATCAAAAATTCCCATCTTGGAAATATATAGTTGGAACTATCATGAAACATCACGGATCATCATGGATTATTGGTCCATGATAGTTCTTTTGATGGTTAACCATCATAGTATTGAAGTAGCATTTTCCATCATAGAATGATGGAATTCATATCAGAAACCATGAACAAGTAAAGGGAAACGTTAGATGATGGTGACCATCAAATGATGTTGGACCATCGTGAATTTTGACTTGGGTTATCATTAAAAATTAAGTTATTTAGAAGAATTCCCTGAATTGTTCGGTTTTATATTGCTTTTAATCCGTTTTGTATAACCTTGGGATGTTTAATCTTCTAGAAACGTTCGTTGCGGGTCATTGCAATGCCAGAGAGGTTCGAGAACACCCCTTGTGCCTGGTATGGACAAACAGTATTCGAGAACAATAGTGTACCTGGGAGGTTCGGAATACGAATGCAAGTGAGTAGGTTTTGTGATGCTAGAGACGTTAACTGGTTTTTTATGTATCTTACTAAGTTACTTGCTAAGTTTATTGACTAATAAGAATTCTTATTATAAAAAATAACTCTAGGCTTAAAATTATTTGTGAACAATTCAGTTGAATAAGCCATATTTATTAATTTTATTAATATTCCATCATGAATTTAAAACATAGTTATACTTATATACAATGTCTTCTTTTTAGAGCTGTCCAAAAATTTGACACTTCACATAATAATAAATCTAGAAATTCTGGATACAATATTCCGTAAGTACTTCTTTTCTTTCTAATGAAACCCTTTTCCCATATATATATATATATATATATATATATATATCTTATTATAAGTAAATAAAACTTATTTATAATATTTCGTCGTTTTTCTCTTTTTTCTTCCTCTAGGATCAGCGGAGGTACTCTAAGTGTTACCGATATTCCTGATTTGGGCATGGTAAAAGACGGTACAAAGTGCGCTGAAGACAGGGTAAATTGTTTCATATATGTATTTTCGCTATACAGTTTGCCCAAAATTAAACTGACAGTGCTCAAAAATTTAAAGCAGTTATTGTTATAGTTCTTGATGTGAATTCATTTTTCCTTACAGAACACCTAAGTTCAGTTATAAAATTTTCGACAGATGGCGTTGACGGCAATAAACCTATAAATAAAAACTCATGTCACGTGAGATTGCAAGTGTTTCAGATATATTGTAAAGTGATTCTTTAACCACTTCCTTTACCAATTATTTTAAAGGAAAAAATGCCAACATATTTTATTAATAAATACACGGAACTAAAACAAAGCATCATTTTTTTTATGTGTAAGAAACATTTAATTTAAAATCAGTTTACTATCCCGAGTTAACTAGGGCAAATGAAATATTAGTCTTTGCATGATAGTTCTTAAAACAGGGGACAATATAAAGTTTCAAACGCCAATAAAGGAATACACCATTATTTTTATTTTTTTACTCTTATTGCTATGTAAATTCAGCAACCATTGTATGTATACAATCGCACAGTCCAACAGCAAAACTCCCAAATCAAACTTGGCAATTACAGCAGATTATGTTATCGACCGAGTAAAAACGTGATAGAACAAAATAATACTCAGGATAATCAGGGAAGCTGTTAAAAGATTTTTAATTTTCAATTATTGTTCCTTAATTTACACGTTCACTATCTGCAGCGCCATCTGCACGAAATAATTTTGAATCATAACCCATAACTCCGAGAGGAAAAAATGATGCCCTGTCTCATGTCATTTTCTACAAGAAATACCTTTTTAACTATTATTTAGACTAATTATTTTACTAATTATATTTTACTAATTATACTTTACTAATTATATTACTAATTATATTTTTATTTTTACTAATTATATATACTAATTTTATTTTTACTAATTATTTTCTGTTCCTCAATTTTTTTAGAATTGGTCGAATTTAGGGCACTCTTCAACATACTATTTAATTAAAGTTGCAGATTAAATGAAAAACTTTCTTTTATTTTATCCCACAATCTCACACGAAGTTTTTCTGATTTTTTTTTTTATTTCCTTGCAGGTATGCGTCAACCAAACTTGCGTCAGCGTTACCATGTTTATTGAACCTGGAAGCTGTCCGTCATCACACATGTCACATGTTTGTTCAGGGCACGGGGTAATTTATTCCTTTATTCCGTTCCTTATCAAAAAATTCTTTCCTTATACCTATTCTATGTGTTACCTTAATAAATTGCCGAAGCCTGTTTTTATGCTCAATTCCCAATAAATATTAAAATATCCACGATTACTGGTAATCATTATGTGCTCTTAGTGACAACTGGATCACTTTAAGCAACTTATGAAATAAAAAAGCTCAATTCGTGCCCGTTCTTACTACCTGCATATTCTTATAGAGATGGAAGATCGTATAAAGCTAAGCATTGATGGCGCTACCTGTTGTTATTGTTGTTGTCTCAGGCGATTGTTCTTGTTTTCCAATGGCGCCATCTATTGCCAAGATTTCGAATACTGCCCCACATATACGTCACACTCGTTTAAACAGCGAACCCATTCATCTACAGATCGTAATTTTGACCTGACTAGAGAACGATCGATCTCCATTTCAGTACCTCCAAAGGTTTGCTATGAGAACATGGAGGATTTTGTGACCCGACAGATTTAACGCGCACCATTTACTTCACGGGGAGTCGGCTGGGATCTCACAAACATGAGTCCAGCACCCAGGCAGTTAAAACTACCGAATAATTTATTTACTCGTCATCTTATAATACTTTTGCAGTACTGTTTTACTATATGACTATTTAAAATCCAGTTTGTTATACGCTCCATGCATACTAGGCAGCCATGATCGACGTTCTGGGTGTCAACAAATCATTTAATACTCACTAATCAGGGGTCTGTTTAGAAGAAATTTGGGTCCGTTAACGGACCCTTCACAAAATATTTTAACTTAAAAACGGACCCTTCACAAAATATTTTAACCTAAAAACGGACCCTTCACAAAATGATTTTTCTTTTAATCGGACCCTTCACAAATTTGTTTATCTTCATTATTATTTTGTTAATCGAATAAACCCTTTCTAGGGCAGAAAACAAGAAAGATGAATGTAAACGAATTAAGTTTTGTCTTCGGCAGACAATTCTTCCATTATTCGTCCGAAATTAATATTCTGCGTTCAGCAGTATAGGCTAAATACCAAATATTTGTATGTTCCATCTCTAATTTAGAAGCAGCAATTGTTGTTTATTTTTTGAAATTTAATTTTTTTAATTATAATTTTACAGTGTTGAGCATAATCTTGTATGTCTTTACAATTTAAAAACTCATTGAAAAAGTTTTTTTTTGCAATAACGGACCCTATTTGCACAAATTCATAAAAGCGGACCCTGGTTGAAAGAATGTGAGTAATTTTTTCACAATTTCACGAAAATTTTTCCTTTCAGAAAATGTCTGGACAGATCCCCGCTTATGATTAACAGATATCGATAGCCTTTTTTTCGATCGAATATTAATTTGCAAATCTTAGTTTGTTTAATTTTTGCCCTTTATTTTTTAAGAGAATTCTACGAGTACATATTTATTTTGCACAGGTGTGCTCGAATCTGAACAGTTGTTACTGTGATCGAGGATGGACAGGATACGATTGCAGCCAGCGAGCAGACGAGAGGACACACCCGGAAGACTTTCAACCCATCCCTAACTTCTTTCCAACTCCCGATTCCCCCACCACAACCATGATCGCTGACTGGAAGAACAAAACTGTCAGGAACTCCTTCGTTGGTCAGTACTCTCCTGATCTTGCTCCACTACATACATAAACACACAAACTATCTGGTTTTCACTCACTCTCTACTGATATTAAAAACACTGAAAAAAGCAATCTATCTGATTTTAACCCTCCAATGATATTAAAAACAATGAAAAAAGCAATCTATCTGATTTTAACCCTCCAATGATATTAAAAACAATAAAAAAAGGCAATCTAACTGATTTCAACCCTCCAATGATATTAAAAACAATAAAAAAAGCAATCTATCTGATTTTAACCATCCAATGATATTAAAAACAATGAAAAAAAGCAATATATCTGTTTTGAACCACCTGATGATATTAAAAACAATGAAAAAATCGTACAATCTATCTTATTTTAACCCTATGATGATATTAAAAACAATGAAAAAAAAAACAATCTAATTCTCACCCCCTAATGATGTGAAAAACAATGAAAGAAAAACTACAATACATCTGATTTTAATCCCCTAATCTTATTAAAAACAATGAAGAAACCAAACAATATATCTGATTTTGACCCCCTAATGATGTTAACAGTAAAGAAAACAATCTATATGAATCTCATCTTCTTATGATATTAAAAACAGTGGAAAAAACGTACACTGAATCTTATTTTAATCCCCTAATGATATTAAAAACAATGAAGAAAGCAAACAATCCATCCGATTCTTATTTTCTAATGATATTAAAAGCAGTGGGAAAAAACTGTTTAATTCTCAACCTCTAATAATATTAAAAACAATGAAAAAAGTCTACAATCTATCTGATTTTAACCCTCTACAGATGTTAAATTTTTTTAACATAATGCAAACAATTATAACCATTAGCTGAATAGTTGGTTAAAAATAATTTATTGGAAATGTTTCTCACGTATAAAATGCATAATCAGGATGAATCTACAATCATCGGACAAACATAAGAGAGGGTGGGTGAGCGAGCATACAAAAACATGCATTTTATCGTATAAGAATATCGGGACGTGTTTAAGACAAAAACGTAAAGATTGACAGGGATGAAAAAAGATGTTTATTTTCAAAATCAACGCTTCTTCGCTGCGATACAATATTCTGTAAGTCAATATTCGTTTTTCAATTACAATTTTCTTTAAAATGTTTTACCGAAATCGCTTCAGAATGTCCCCGATGTAATTTGTGTGGCGACAGCAGGATGGTGCACTAACACATTACTACCAAGTTTTCAAGAATTTCTTGGCCACCAAGTTCACCAGATTTTTCCAACTTCTTTTTATGGGATCATTCGAAGAGCACCATTCACTGAAAGACCTCGTTGATCCATTGTGGCAAAATGCCTGCCATTTTTTTAAGGTGTTCTTCAATCCCTTCTCCTACTTTGCCAAGCATGAATCAATTGTAATAGCTGCGATATAGCCATTTGATTCTGTAAATAAGCACATTTGTTTGTCCTGTATATGTTATGAATACATGTTATGAATATATTTATGTATTCGTAGGACCCCGACCAAAAATATAATAAAAAGAAAGATTACGGTTACGAAAGCCTTTGAATATTTAATCCAGAAGATTAATCAAGGCTGTATTAAAAACAATAAAATTATTTTGAATGTCTCCCACGCTAGAACAGATTTTGATGTATTCAAACTTGCCTTACGCGATAATGATTCGTCAAACTTTGATAAAGTCATTTTTTCTGACTTAAATATTAATCGATGACCCTTAATATCCTAGTGGTGATTCTGATACATCCTGGGTTAGTATGAAACATGTTTTAGACCTGTTAAAACATGCTCGAAATATTTTTCACACGGGCTTTAGAGCAAATTTTTATCACAGCTTCTTCATAGTTCAAACTATCATTTCTAAATCTGTTATTTTAAGTAAAACTCAAGTAATAAACAAAAAAAATTGCACAATCAATTCCTAGTTAGGGTCAACAAAGAAATTTTTTTGTTTTAGTTACTTTTTATTAAACAATTAAAAAATTTTCTCCCATATAAAACAAAATTAATGAATTAATTTAATTAATGAATTAATATTTGAAAAACTATATTAGCATCAAATGTCCTCCACTGCAAGTTTAAAGAAATGTAATTGAATTTGAATGGATTAATAAAAAGTATTTTATTAACGATTGAAAAATTGAACGAGATATAAGGAGAATGTGAACTAATATTAGGAATTGAAAAAAAAAAAGTTTTCTGTGCTTTAATAATATTTTTTATATAAGTTAAGAGAGAAGAAATTTTTGGTCACTATTCGTGCAAAATCTTTTTTCAGAAATGTTATTTGAAATTTATTTATGTTCTTCATTTGTAATTAATAAAATATTTTATCTTTGTAGTAACCACGGGTAATACGCTTAGCACACCTTCATTGGTTATAGTTTTGGTTACAATTGTAGGAGGTGTATTTATATTTTTTGCTCTCCTAGCCACATGTTACAGGTAGGTTATGTATTTCATTCACTGCTTTTGACCCTTTGACGCACAATATTTCTCACATTTTTTTTTCTTCATTTTTTTTAAATTTTGTATTAATTAAGGTCAAAATAAGTCAAAATATTAAACTTAACATTTTAATAATTTATGGTTATAAATTGCAACATGAAACACCAGTGTTTGTTTCTGAGCTCAAGGTAAAATCTTCATAAACATGGTTCATTTCCAATTGCAAAAATAATTTTTCAGATTTGCTATTTAGTACTAAGAAAAACAGTTATTCATCATTGAAATTTCTTCCATTCCATTTAATCTAACAGATGTTTTTAATACCTAATTGACAGTTTCTTACAGTTCATATTTCAGTTACTTTGTAAATATATTTTTTATATTTTAGAATTTTAAGTATTTTTTTATATTTTTTATATTTTAGTTTATATTTAAATAATGAAAAAAATTTTTATTTAAATAATGAAAACTCTTTTTTTATTTTTTATTTTAGTACAAATATAATTCTGATAACCTAACAGATGTTTCTATTAACTAGTTGACTGTTTTTTTATAGTTTATATTTCAGTTACTTTATATATTTCTTTTTCTATTTAATATTTTTAGTATTTTTTATATTTTAGTTTATATTGAATAAATGAAAAAATTCAAACTTCTTTTTTATTTTAATACAAATATAATTTTGATAATCTAACAGACGTTTTTAATAATTAATGGACTGTTTTTTATAGTTTTAGTTCATTTATATATTTTTTTGTATTTTAATATTTTTAGAATTTTTTAATTTTTTTTACATTTTAGTTCATATTAAGTTAATGAAAAAAAATCAAACTTCTTTTTTTTAGTACAAATATAATTCTGGTAATCTAACAGATGTTTTTAGTAACTAATAACTGTTTTTTATAATTGAAAAATGAAAAATATATTTTTGCTTGTAAATAAGGAAATATATAGAATAAAATAGTATAGAAAAATATATAAAAAGGACACCGGTGTCCATCTGCGTCAAAGGGTTAAATTTAAATGGCTAAAATAATTTCAGAAACTGACGGAAAAATGAACTTACTGATAAATGATAAGACATATGATAATTCATAAATAATTCATTGTTCTTTTATTCAAAGATCACAAATTTTATTGTTTCATAATGTAATTAGAAATATTATAATTCACAAAAGCCTATTTCTTATTCACTAGTTACAAAATTTAATAAATTCTTATTTTTTAATAATAGGATAATTCCCAAAAGATAATTCATTGTTTTATTATTCAATTGTCAAAATACATTCAATTTTCAGTTTTCATTAATATAATTAGAAATATTATGATTCACAAAAGATAATTCTTTCTTCAGTAGCCTCAAAATTATTCAGTTTTTTTTTCTCTTCATTTATAGTTATGTCAATAAAGAATAAAAAATGGCAAAATACTTTATTAAAATAAAAAATAATAAGTAATAATATTTATTTTGCATGAATGCATACATAATTTATTAATGATGAATTCATAAATTTAACAATGAATAAACACCAAGTTGTAGAAATAAGCGTTTTAATTGTTTACGCGAAAAAAGAATTTAGGTGAAGGTGCATCCATTAATTCAGTTGTAATTAGGTCGGGTTTTTTTAGTTTCCAGTATCAGACTTAGAATTAAAACTATTCGTTCCTTTTAATGACCCTAAATGACAAAAAAAATTAAATAAATTGTTCACATTGAGTTTATTTACAATCGATACCTTAATTTTAATACTAAAATGCAAAATAATGGTTTATCTTTAGCTATTGTATGTAAATCTAACATGGCATTCTTTAGATCCATTTTATCTACACAATTATTTTACTATAAATCAATAATTATAATGGTACACACCTAGACAAAAGTTTGAATTCACAAGTGCTTTGGGAAGTTGTTGTTTTAGGCACATGTGAATGTATATATGTTACTGTGAATGACCGAAATTTGGTGGCTGTTGACTTCCACCGGTGAATGTTGACAATCACATAGTCGGCAGCCGTGATGGCTCAGGGGATTGAGAGTTCGCCTTCCATTTTACCGGGTTCCCTGCAATGGCTGGTTGATACGAATCCGCACCCGACTCTCACCGACCACAGTGCTGTCTTAAAATATCCTCAGTGGTAGATGGATCAGGGATTAGAGTCCCCTTGCCGTCAGACTTACCGTTGCACGTTTTCGTGGTTTTCTTCTATATGTAAAGCAGGTGAGGGTTAATTCCATTAAAATGTCCTCCACGAAGGACATATTTCTCCCGATACTTCCTCCAGGAGTTCCCTTGTCTTCCGGATTGGGTTCAAAATTACAAGGCTGCGGAGTTAAACATTAGTAGTAGTAAAACTAAAAAAATTGTGTCAACGACAGTTATAAAATATAAAACAAAATCACATAATCGCTTTGGTATACGAAATATTTATTTCGTCAAGTTAAGTGCCAATGCCCGGTATACATTTGCCCGGTATGCCCAATATCAATGTTTTTTTAAGGTCAAGTGACACTGCTCGGTATACTCTACATCAATATTTTATGGTCAAGTGACACTGCTCGGTATACTCTACATCAATGTTTTTTTAAGGTCAAGTGACACTGCTCGGTACACTCTACATCAATGTTTTAAGGTCAAGTGACACTGCTCGGTATACTCTACATGAATGTTTTTCGAAGTCAAGTGTCACTACCCGATACCCTCTACATCAATGTTTTAAGGACACTGCCCAGTATGTATTTAACCGGTACTCCGAATACTGATGTTTCTCCTAATCTATCCTCATCATAGATTAAAATGGCGAATATATATAATAGTATCAACGAATAAATTAATATTAAATCGAATCTAACAAATATTTCGGACATTCACCCAAGCGACTATGTGGTTGTTGATCCTCACCGATGACGAAAGTCGACATTCTCTTGCTTTCTTGTCATTCACGGTAATCTATATATATTAGAAATGGTTCTGTATCATTATACTTCTGGTAATCTTGATAATTAACTAATACATTTTTCGTTCATTTAATTTCAATATGTAAAGATCTAGAACTGTCAAACCAAATGAAAAATAACTTATTAATGTCCTAAATTTCTAATCTAGATTGCATCCATTACTAACTTTTAACTTATTTCGTGCTGTATTCATTCAAAAGAAACGAATGTAGATAACAAGTTCAGTAGCTATTTAGAAAAAAAAATGCATATTTTAACAATGTACAGCGAGAGATAGAACGAAAAAAAAATCGTACGAAGGTTGGAGCTGAAGTTTCGAATGAGGAACCGAATCGAAGAACTTTGGATTGGAAAAGTAGCATCACTTCCAAGAATTCGTAATATTCCTTTCTTTACTTTTTTTTTCTTCTTTTATCTATCACTTCTGCATGCTTTGCACTTATTTAAACACCTTTTTTTTTTTAACCATTCCACTCTAACTACAATAATTCCCAATTTACCATATCCAATTGTGGATTCAATACCTCAACTTTTCAAACTTTTGTCTAATTTACTCACTAATAATTTGAAAGATGAGACGTGGTGGCTCAGGGGATAGAGCGTTCGTCTTGCAATGAAGCGAACCGAGAACGAGTACCACCGACCACAGTGCTGACGTGAAATATCCTCAGTAGTAGACGGATCATGAGTCCCCTTGCCGTCAGGCTAAACATGTAAGGTTTTCGTGGTTTTCCTCACCATGTAACTCAAATGTGGGTTAGTTCCATCAAAACATCCTCCACGACGATAAATTTCTCTCAATACTTGATTCAGACGGTTCCCTTGTCTTCTGGATTGGGTTCAAAATGACAAGGCTACGTTTAACATAATAAGTCATAAACCCAAAAAATTAGATCTGCTGTTCAACGAGGGTTATAAAATGTAAAATATCTGATAAGAGAATTGAGGTTGTAGTGAAAGGGTTACGTCAATTAGTGTCGCTCCATTTTTTTCGTCAATTATGCAATTTTCAACTAGTAGTAATTTTTTTATGTTGTAAACTTTTTGACTTCCTTAATGAAAACTAAACTATAATACTATAAAAACTAAACTATAATACTATAAAAACTAAACTATAATACTATAAAAACTAAACTGTAATACTATAAAAACTAAACTGTAATACTATAAAACTAAACTATAATACTATAAAAACTATACTATAATACTATAAAAACTATGCTATAATATTATAAAAACTGAATCAAACTGTTTCAAATGTTATTACAATGTAGGAAATTAAAATAATGTCAATTATTAATTTTTCGTTGTCTAAAGAATCAACTCAAAAAATCAACAAATTAGTTGATATAATGAGAGAAATTAATATTTTTACTTAATTTAAGAAATTAATATTTGAAAGATCAGGAAACGTTAATGCCCACATTACCTAGATAAACTCTCGATTTCACTCTTTAACGGAGTAAATCAGTTAATTTGTAAATTAACTAGATATCGTGCACATTAACGGCTGTCGAGGTAACATATGTACCAATTTTCGTTAAAGGGTAAGAAATTTGGGATTAATCATAATATGACGTGGAATGCTTCTTTTTTTATTGCTTAATCTTTTTATACTTTTTCTCTTACTTCTTTTCTACTTCTTATTTATACCTCTTTTTCTTTTTTACTTCTTCGGTAAGTATAAGAAATATCTTTTTCTTGCTTCTTTAAATAACTATATTCTCTCATAAATAACATTTTCTTCCCTTTCTTTTATTTCTTTCCTTACTTCTTTTTGAGCATTTGATAATTTTATTAGAAATTCGCACTTTTTTCGCACTTTACTGTAGTAGTCTGTCTGTAGGTACTACTTTTTACCAATTGTGTCGCTACTTTTTATTCCTTAGTAACTAGCATAGATTTTATAGATTTTTCTTAGAAAGTACAGTAGATTTTATTCATTAGATTTTGCGTAGTTCAGAGATATGTTTAATTAGTTTTGTTGAAGTTTGATAAGAAATTACTATATTGGTTATATTTCTTTAAAAGAAACTTTTTCATATGTATTTGTCGCACCTGAAATCGACACAGGAATCATTTAATTGCTTAACGCCAAGTTTAAACATGCCTTAATTTTTTTTCTATTACAAAATTTCCTTTTTAAGCAATTGTGAAGGCTGTTCAAATTTGAAATCCATGTATGTTCAATGTATCATTTACCCATGCAACAAAAATAAATTAAAAATATGTGAAAATGTCGTAAAGCTACGGCATTTTAATCTTTGCTTTATTATGGTTTAAAGAAATTGTCTAAAATCCCTTAAAAAACTAAAAAAATTATCAAATCCTGTAATTCTTAACTTTAAAATCACGACTTTTCTTAACGTAACTGAGTTTTTGTTGAAAATTTTCGCTTCATTTTAACCTATTTTTCTCTATTTACCGTAAATCAATATTGTCCGTTTGACAGTCAACAAAAAATTTTGACACGTTTTTCCAAAATTTGCTGACATCTTAAATTAGCATAAAAAATACTAGTAAAATTACGAGATGCAACAGAGTGTATGACGTCATTCTAACACGATTTATCTCTGTATTTTATTATCGTCTTGTCAGGTGTCGATTCAAAGTGCGACACGCCTTATAAAAAGTTTCTTTGTTAAGAACTGCTAAATAATATAATTTTTATTTCATAAGAAGAAGTTACAGAACATCTCTGGCAGTTGCGAATTATTTTTATTACGTTACTCTCTCTGGTTCCACAGTTCAGTTCCACAGGTTTTATGTTACTTACCTAACACTTATATTGTTTGTAAACAAATCGTTTTGTTTTACTTATTCTCTTTTTTGAAGTGAAACTTCTAACGCGACTTCCAATAAGGTTGCGTTAAACGTTTAACGCTACCATGGCAACGATCGGCCTGTGATCCTTGCAGGAGATTTTAATGTGAATTTCTCGTTACCAGAAAGCTTAAACATTATTAACCTTCCTTAAAGACAAATTTGGATTGGAAATGATAAATGGTAGGAATGATCCAACAACCAAAGGGGGAACTACCATTGATGCAGTTTTTGCAAGAAATATTGAAAAAATAGAACTCAAACATTTCGTATCTTACTTTAGTTATCATAATCCCATTGTAAATGTTATAGATTTGGATATTTCTCCACTCGAAAATGATAATTAAAAGATGCGATCAATTGTGAATTGTAAGCAATGTTAATAAAGTTTGTCTTAAAGAAACAATATGATTTCACTAAAAATCAATTTCTACCCCTTCCTATTTTCATTTCCACATTACGAAGTTTCAGTTCTTCCGCGTGGAGGGACTCCACGCACTATTTTTAAATTTTGTTTTTAACACAATCTTTTTCGTTTATTTTGTGTTTAACTTCTTCTTTTCCTTTTATTTTGTTTTTAACTATTTCCTTTAATCTTGTTTGTTTATTAGGGAAATTTCGCGCATGTACATTGGCTTCCTTAAACAAGATTTGAAGCAACTGCGAATGTTCCAGTTTATTATAGAAGCTACGTATCTTTAGGTTATGTTGGCGTGATTAAAGCTACAAAAACAAAGCTACAAGCACGCTGTTTATAACTGTTTATTGTTTTTTTTTCTGTTTAAGCCAACCTTCAAACCTAAAACATGGACATGGAATGTGAATTTGTAGAAATATATTGATGAAATTTAGAAATGAATCGTGTGATATTAGAACAATTGGTTGAACGAAGAGATCATCTATTGTAAATGTTTATTTTGATTTTTTAGTCAAAGTTAAAAAGATATTCCACTATGTTAGTATTTTTTACTTTCGGACTTTTGTGAAATCTCTTATATTCTCTTACGTAAGTTTGATATTTTTTTCACTGGAGCATGCGCGTTTAACCAGAATCAACGCATGCGCACTAAGTGCGCATGCGCAATCGCTTAAAATCTTACGTGGGAGCTAACATAAACTTACGAAATCTCCCTATTTATTTATTATTTTTTTTTGGAAGTCTATTTTTTTTTAACCTTTTTTTTATTTTCCCTTTAATTTTATTTTTAACCACACATTTTTCCTTTTTCTTAAGGAGGGACCGAAATATGTATGAAGCCATTTTCTTCTCGTACAATAAATGGCCCATCTCATAACCAAGAATGAATTAATGTAATCAAACGAGATATTAACAGGGTGATCATAATAAAATGACCTCTCAACAAATAATGCAAATATTACCAAAGCAACAAGATTTTATATAAATGAGTAAATTATGGTATTTCATTTCGTGTTTTTCACCTAACTTTCGTCACGCTTTCCTTACAAGTAATATCAAGGCAAGAGCATTTTATTACTGAATAAAATACGATTTCTTGTTTGCGTATCTATTTTCTTAATTTTAGCAATACATTTGTCGTTAAAGTTGAAATAAGTCGAAAGTTGAATTAAAGTTGAAATAGTCCTTTTTTAATAATGTTCTTTATAGAGGAACTTACGTTTTTATTGTCGAAAGAGTTCGTTAATAGTCTTCCATTTAACGCCATAAATCATAAAGGAAAAAATCCAAATATTTTAGAATTAGGCTGAATTGCATAAAATTAGTTTATATGGAAAAAACTTTTATAAGCCTCTGGAGGGCACGCTGTTTAAATTAATGGAATTTTTGTACAAGGCGGAAAAAAAAGGATTTTTTCTTTAATATCTGTGTATTTCCATCTTGAAAAATCTAACTTTTAAAATTCGATTTCTCAAAAACTCTTCAACCTATTTGTCACAAATTTTTATTTTGCCATTTAAAATTACATTCCTTAGAATGAAGTAAAAAGTTGTATACCTCACAACTCAAATTTTTTTTTCCGACTATTATTAAATAAAAGAATAAAAAATAATAAATATTTACTAAAAGTTTTTTTTTTTTTTGCATGGAATTATGCTTGGATAAGCAAATTTTATAATCATGTGCAAAATTTTTCATTTCACTTAAAGTGTTCTCGACATTTGGCGAAATACACAAAAAATATAATCAACCTTAAAGGATTCAAACTATTGGAACCATCTTTCCCAGATTGCTATGTTTTAGGGATCGGAAATTTGAATTTCGACGCGGGAAAAAGGTCAGAGAAAGTTCGTTTTTGTGTTTGATTTCGTAACGTGAAATATAGTCTGCGCTAATAAGTCATCCCCTCAAACCCTTAAGATTGAGTCCTTGAGCATGGACATTCGATCATTAAATCAAAAGTTACTCAGGGTGGTCCATATATATTTTTGTTTGCACTGTACAAAGTTACCATGATCTATGCACACAAAGATGATGTTAAAAATGATTGCGTAGCTCTCACAATTACAGTGACAAAATTTCTAAGTTTTCAAATGGCAGCATCCATTTTTTTTAATCGAAGCGTAATCCTTACAGTAAAAACCTAAAATGAAATTATTTTTTTCTGAAGACTATTTTTTGACAAAAAATGGCGACGAAAGGCTTATGTCATGCGTCGCCATTTTTCGCGTTCATAAACGAGAAGAAAATACCTTTATAATACCTTTACTTTTAAAAAATACCTTTATAATAATAATCTTTAAAAATAAAGGAGAAACTATAAACATGTGAGGACGGACTCGTTAAGACGTAATTTTTTTTTTTTTTTTTTTTGTAATTTTGCTACGTTTTTAAAGGTATTTATCACTTATTTATTGTAACGAAAATGACGACGTTTGCGCTTGACGAAATACTATCATCTGATGCTAAACATACAATTCCATATGAAAACTCAGTTTAATTTCATGACTTCAGATTCCATTAGTAACTATCAGTTTCTGAAATTTATTTTACCATGAATTTAAGACGGCGTCAAAACCTGATCTGTTATAATACACCTTAGCAATTGTAACCAAAATTTTAATCAACTGTGTCAGTCTTTACTATTATAAATTGTTACTATTATTTTGCTTACATCATTTTCTTTAGCCTTAATTTTTATTTAGTTGCGGGTTTTATATGTATCATATTTCCAACACCTTGTTGCCTGAATTCATTTATGATTTTGGATTTGATTTGCACCTAACAATGATTTACATTTTATTTATTTATTTACTTAGTATTTATTCATATGAACTATTAATTATTTAATTCTTTGTGCACTTCACTTTTACTTTCATGTTTCCTTAAATAAATTATTGACTTAACTAGATTTTTCCGTTGACATTTATTTTATTTTATTTTAATTTCATTAAATCTTTCTTGACGAAACATCTATCCATTCAAAAAAAATTTTCATTTTAATTTTATAATTTCTGTATAAATCTATGTATATTCCAATTGTGGAATCTACAGTTCCTCAAAAAGTAGGAGCATGCATAATCAAGGAATTATGTAGCATATTCCTTATTTGTTTAATTTTGCCAGAAATAGCAAACTTATTATCTGATCTCACATAATTATTTGAATTATTTTTGTACGTTTATGATCATTATCATTGTAGTTCATTAAACCAAAAACGAGAATATAAAACATAGCCATTTTGTACTACCATTCGAAATATTCAAGAACAACGGGTGCAGTCGGCATGAAATATTAGTTAAGAAAACGGAAACTAATTTACCTCGGTTGATTATTTGAAAAATTTACAAAATGCAGGAAGAATAAGTCGGAGGAATGTTCGAATTTCAGAGAATTTGAATAACTTACAACACTGTGATCAAAGCATTAAAGCAAAAAAAAAAAGAAAATTTTAAGCCTTCGCTTGCATTTGTGATTCTTTATAACACAAAGATGTTTGACCAAACCAAAAATATACACCCTGTACCATTCTGTTTAGAAGAAAAATCGCCAAGAATATCTCACTTCCTAATGCATTTAGAGTCTTGAAACTTCGTATAGACAGAAAAGGTTTTTGATGCCAAAATGGCTGCCTAGTCAATGAGAACGTTTTTTTTTTTTTTTTTTTTTTTTTTTTTTTTTTTTTTTTTTTTTTTTTTTTNTTTTTTTTTTTTTTTTTTTGTACCTAAGCTTTTATTGTGTACTGTTAAAACACACAAATTCGTCAAGCTAAAATACGTTTTTTTAAGAAAATTGATCATGATAAGAAAAAGAAATGAATTTTAAAAAATGTGGAAGTGTAGCATTAAAAAACGAAGAGCATATTGAACAATGACCAATTGCAATTCCGAAATTGGCTTCAGTCAGGAAGACCTTCACAATTTAACTCTTATCTACACTAAGGGATTCTTATTAGACTGACAGGTCACAAAAAATTAATTCATAAATAAATAAAGAGCCAAGGGTTAGAGCTCTCGCCTCCCAATGAGGTGACCAGGCTTCGATCCCAGCTATAGCTGGTCGATTTGAATTCCGCACCCGGCTCGCACCGTCCACTGTGCTGACGTAAAATATCTTCAGTGTCAGACGGATCATGGGTTAGAGTCCTCGTGCAGTCAGTTTTCGTGTAACGAAAATGCAGGTTAGTTTTATCAAAATAGTCCTCCACGAAGGCAAATTTCCCCCAATACTTGATCCATGAGTTCCCTTGTCTCCTGGATTGGGTTCAAAATTGCAAGGCTACGGAGTTGAACATTCGTAGCCGTAAACCCTAAATTGGGTCGGCTGTTCAACGACCGCTTATAAAATAAATAAAAAAAATAAAAGAAACATTTCTTCGTGTTATGGGTCATCATTTTCCTCTCTCGAAGTCCCTGGTTAAAATTCAAAAATCTTTTGACAGACTTTCTTTTACAAAAAGAAGTATGCATATTTGTATGTGTATAATAAAAATTTATGCATATGATCTAATTTTTTCTTTAAAAAAAATATTTTTTTTTTAATTTTATTAGTTTCAATTACAAACGAAAAGAATTTTGGGAGAAAAATTTAAAAATTCTCTTAAATTATTTTCATAATTAAATAAAAAATAAAAAAAAATTTGCATTTGTTTTTATTTTTTTTAAAAAAAAAGAAAAGCTTTTTCAAGTATTCAGGTGCGGGGGATACAACCTGTAGTGGAAAGCGGATATCTTCCGTTATTGTTTTTTTATTTTCTAAACAACTTGAAGAGATCATATATCATGAGTAAAAGTTTTTTTTTGATTAATGTAAGTCCACTTTACATCAGCCACTCTGTCGAATGAAAAAAAAAATATATGTGCTGTTAGAATAATTTTAATTTATGTACAATTTTAAAAGTAATATTCGAATCATATAATCTTTTTTAATAAAATAGGTAATATAATTGCTCTTTTTCGTAATCAAATTTTTTACTTTTTGTAGTAACCAAGGGTACAACTCTTAGCGCCACCTCCCTGGTTATAGTTTTGGTTACAATTGTAGGAGGTGTATTTATATTTTTTGCTCTCCTAGCCACATGCTACAGGTAGGTTATGTATTTCGTTCTTTACTCTCAATGATTGAAATATATTACCGTCAGCTGACACACTTCGGCAATGTTACGGACACAAAGTTACTGAATGGTTAAAATAATTTTCGAAGCTGACAATCATTTGTGACAGAATACTGCATTGATTTTATTATATGTAACGAATAAAAAGTTACTTTATACTATTAAAATTGAAAAAGCTACTTGAAAGTTTATAATAGAATACTTGTAAGGAAAGATGCTTAATCTTCCAACAGCATGCGATTTTGGGTTGTAGTATGTCTACCACTACAAAAAAAAATACAATTCCAATTAAAAAGTGTATAAGACATGTTAACTCGATTCTATGTTGAGGTACCTTTTCATAGAGGAAGGTTGACATTATCGAAAACACCTCTCCCCACATTGGTGACCTGGACGTCATGCGACCATGCTTACCTTGACAGAAACTCCCACTTTGATCTGATCTTGCCTACTTCGATGGATGGTCCACAGTTGACTTGCGACTACGACATTATCCACCTCCTCTCGCCGTTGCTACTCAGTCTCGATCACATACGGCGGCCTGTACACACTGGACTGCTAATGGCACCACAAGAGCAACCACGACAGTCAACTTAATACAGTTCTCATGATTTAGCACTCAAAAGTACGGTGATTTTACTACAGCTCTCCCGGCTTCCCATAAAACAGCAATGAATCAACTAGTGGTATCCGGTTCATCGAATTCTATGTCAGATAAAATTCTGGTAGGGGAGTACTGTAGTGTGTCTACCACTACAAAAAAAGACACAATACCAATTCACAAGTATATAAGACATGTTAGCTCGATTCTATGTTGGGGTACCTTTTCATAGATGAGGGTTGACATTGTCGATGCCACGGGTTAATAAATACTAAGTAAATTGACGACGATTATTAATGAGGAAAAATATTTACATCCATCACCTTTTTAATATTTAAATTCGTCAGGATTGTAAGTAAAGTTACGTTGTCCCTAGCAACGCGCTGTTTACACTTATATAAAATGAAACTTTGTGTATGATTTTACTGATCTTGCACGTCACAAACTAATGAAAAAAAGTTTTAAGTGATTTATTTATTTTTTTAAATTTTATTTTGTACGGCAAATAAAAAAAAGATGGAGGAAATAAAGAAAAGAAAGAGATGAGCTAAAATGGAGTTACCAGAGTATTACTGGAACCAGTATTTATCTACAAAAGATAAAACCTATTTACCTAGACGGATAGCACTGGTGAATAGGTTTTGCCTTATTTAATAGGTTTTATGTAGGTTATAGGTTTTATACGCATGCAAATGAAAATTTCATTTATAATTTTTCACGATCTTTTACCAAATAAATTCTCATACATGCTATTTTTTTTGCAAAATGTTAGGAAAACTGTTATTCTAATTCTGTTTATCAATTTTCCCCTGAATTTTTTGGTCTAATCAATATATTCTAATGTTTGCTTTGTTTAAAAAAACTTTTTTGTGATCTATATAGAAGTACAGTTACGCTTCATCTTATGGACGTCACAAATCTATCCCCTCTCGAATTTTGTTTCATGTATGCTAATATAGTTACGTGTTTAATTATTGACACCATATATCAATTTCATGCTGATTCTTGTTTTATATGCTACGCATGATTTTCTAGTTGCATGATTTACTTATTGTTTCCATAAGCAAATTTCCTACCGATTTTTGTTTTCTGTGTTACGCATGCTTATCTAATTGTGTGATTTACTAATTGATATCTATTTTTTACTAAAATTTTGTTTTATGTGTAATGTATGCTGATCTAAGTTTGTATTTACTTTTTGACTTTATAATAATTTACTATAACTGATATCTATTTCTACATAATTTTCGTTCTTGTCTAATGTATGCTAATCTAGACTGGTGATGGAAATTAAGAGAAATTGCAGACTGGGTCGATTATCTCCAGTACTACTGGATCGATTTTAATGACATTTGATATGCAAATACATTGATACAATTGTCCTGTGGCAATTTCATACCTTCCGACACCAACGAGTGTCACGTGTGTGTTTTACAATGTTTATTTGTTTTGTATTGTATCAAATGTCATTAAAATCGTTTCAGTAGTTCTAGAGATAATCGACCCAGTCTCTTAATTTTTTAAACCAGTGTATTTCTTTCAAAATTTTGCTTCATGTGTAATGTATGCTAATCTAGATGACTATTTACTTCTTGACTTTATAATAATTTAATGACACTTTAGGTGTAATTGAATACGTACAGTACTGACAGATAAACTTAACAATGTCAACTTGATGGGTTTAAAACATACTATCAAGATCCACCAAATCAAAGCTCATTATTTTGAATTGTATAGGTTAGCTCATTTAACTTCTGTTAACAGAATACGTTGACGTAATGTAAATAATAATAAACAGATTTTTTTATTTATTACTCTTATCTGAAAAACCGTGTAAACTAATTAAATTATACATCATGACACAATTGCGATGCACCTTCACCTTCTTTTAAATTCCTCAGGGAAAAATAAAATATTTATTATTCATACTTTATTCTTAAGATTCAGTCTTGACTTTGTGTTAAGTACATACAACCTTCTAACTATTGTTATTTATAACAAAATGTTCTCTAACCACAGTTTTTTACATATATTTTCACCATTTTTGTTGCCGTTGTTGTTGCTGTTACCGTAGGCCATTAAGGCATGGTGTGTGATTGTAATTGTTTTCCAGGGATGCCATCTATGGCCAAGAATTCGTCACCCGTACGCCGCACCGGTTTATAGGGCGGACCCATTCATACATGCATTCATTCATCCATAGATCGTAATTTCGACATTAACCAGAGAACGTCCAACTCATTACCCCAGAGGGATAATTTGTTATGGGAACATGGAGGACTTTGTGACCCGAGAGATTTAACATGCGCTAGTCACCATTTACTACACGGGGAGTCTTCGGCATGCTGGATTCGAATTCTCGTTCCTACGAACGTGAGTCTAGGGTCCCGCCAACCAAGCTATCCCGTCCCCCACAATTTTTGTGGAATATGAATTAATATTAACAGACATATAAAATGCCACAAACAAAATAATATCGAAATCCAAAAAGAGAATAAAAAATTTTTTAGAGTAGAAATTGGATTTATGTTTTTTTGAAACTAATTTTTGACCTATTATAGCAAGGCAAGATGAAAAAAAAAAAAAAAAAAAGAAAAAAGGGAAGCCAAAATGAAATCCCCATTTAACGTGGAAACTTTAATTTAGCATTTATTTTATAGGTTATGCTTTAACTTTCCTTTCAAACAACGAATGGAGAAGGAAAAAAGATTTTTTTAAAAGTTCTATTTAAAAAATAATAAAAATTTTTAAAAAAAACTTGAATCTATGAATCTCTAAAAATCTTGAATCTTAAATAAAATATCGAAAATAATCACACTCAAGACGATTAATGTATGGTTCGTCAGTCGATATGTAGAAATAGCTTTTCGTTTTATGTGTGACAAAAATAAAATTGTTTTTTATGCATATAATTAATGCAATTTTGCAAATCACACATTGCATTCACTAGCAAATGAAAAAGTACTCAAAATTTCAATTTTTAGATTCCTACTATCCATCAACGATTTCAATAAAATAAAATGGCGTTCCAAAGTAAACTTATTCTCGTTTGTATATTGACCAATTGAAATTTCGCATCCCTTACAGTTAGTCTATAGAAAGAACACCCCTCACCTCAAAGTCTATGGCCGTCTGCTGCTATGGAAATTAGAAATAACGCATTTCAAGGAGGGGAGCTTTTCTCTTCCCCGATTTCTTTTCGCTTGCCTGTCTGAGCAGAAACCTGTCGTGAATATTTATTTGAAATAGCTAAACCTCGTAACCATGATCACCGTCTCTGCTCCTGGCGAACGGTGAAGAGACTTCTTTCTAGGCTATAGAAAGACATGAGAGAAAGACTTTTCGGAGATAATAGAATTTTGTTCAAAAATGTAATGCTATTCGCTTTTTAGTGTGGCAAAAATAGATTATTTTTTTTCTTTCTTTTTAATCCACTTAAGACTCAGTTTTTAAAATTCGTATGTAATATTAAACTATATTAAATAATATTAAAATTCTTTCTTATTAAAAGTCGTCCATATATTACAAAAGCATGTTTTTGGCAATTTTAAACTCCCCTTTCCTCCTTGTGAACAAAATTGTGTAAATTAGATTACCCCTCCCATGCTTATGTAAAAAATTCGCAACCTTATTTTTCACTTTGACTTTTACGGTAGCTATCTATTTTCAGCATTAAATTCGAATAAAAAATGCAACTTTCTGCACGAGACAGAATTTATGTTTCAATTCATTTAATGAAATCTTGTATAGAATATTCTTTAGGAATCATTCATCCTGCGGTTAAAACTCCTGACCGCTAAAATTTCTAGAAGAAATATTTTTCGAACTTTTTCTTTCCCCCAAAATTAACTTTCTTTCAAATTTAAAATTTTCTGTACCTAATTTTGTTTAAAATATTTTGCTACAATTTTTGTTTGCAATTAATAATTTCTTTTTCAAATAGTGAGATTTTAATACTTTAAGTAAACTTATACCCCACCTCTTCCCTTGCAGGGAAAAATAAGTCAATCATCCTTCCCTATTAGGTGCTTATATTTTCTATATAGTTTGTGTATAGAGTGAACTCCCCTCATCACGAAATCTAAGGCCGTCTGCTGCTATGGAAATAAGACATAGCGCATTTCAAAAAGGGGAGTTTCTTTCCCTCGACGACCAGAGCGAAAACCTGTGTTTAATGATCCAACAACCCTACTTAAAGTAGTTAAACCTCGTCACCATAGTCACCACCACTATTCCAGAAAAATGGCTGGGGGAGTTATTTACATAGACAAACTATACCCTTTTTGTTTATATTAGAAACTGGTATCGGAATTTTGATTCGAGGTAAATATTACTCACATTATTTAGAAAAAAAATTGTAACTCGTATTAGCATCCAACACTGAACTGCATTTTTTATTCCAACACAGAACTCGGGTTTAGGCCTCTCTAGCTACTCGTAAAGTGGTCGACTGAAAGATTTGAATGTTGTCTCTGAATATATGTATAATAGGTGGTGGTTAGAGAACACTTACAATATTTTTGTATGTTAATGCTGTTGTTGTTGTGTGTTTTGTTAAAGGCGTAGCGGTATATTACCGAAAGGTGCGTCAGACTACTTGAAGAAGCGTTTCGGCAGAAAACTGCATATGCCTCTTGCGGGTAAAAAGCTCAGCGGCTCACAAGAAAATGTCAACCGCATCATTACCTTTGGCAGCATGCCTTCCTACAGGTAACTTCCATTCTATTCATTTATTTCATTCACATTTATGCATTCACAGGTTTAAGGAAAATGGACTTTCCCTTTTTCAAACTTCTCTTGGAAAAAAGTTTCTTTAAAAAAAAAACATTTTTTTAAAATAAAGAATAAACTAATAGAACCAAATAAATTCATAATGTGTTGTTGTCCATTTGCTTAAATCACCAAACACATTTTTTTGAATCAGTTTTTTTTATTTTTTATTTTTAAACCCAGATGATTGCTTCGCAATTTGTTGAAATTACTCATCTAAAAATAAATGTACAATAAAGAACACTTCTCTTATGATACTATTTCTCTTATGATACTATTATTTCTCTTATAATACTATCCAAATATTATATACTTACCAAATATTTCTCTTATGATACTATTAAGATTTCTAATTGAACATAAATAATTTTTCTAAGTAATCATTTTTTGAAATAAATTTCTCGTTAAGTTTCGGTTGAACACTGAAAAAGTGCATTTTTGCTCTGTCCATTTTCTTTAACACTCATTTTCTGCAAAGCTCACAATCAGCGATTAAATTTCAAAATGGCAAGATCACTCTATTGCTCACGTGTGTGAGTTGGTTGGCGTTTATTTAATTTCCGGCTATTGATTACGTTTTCACGCGTGCTCTGGATTTATTTCATTCTTGTAAATGTTTACATAATATCAATATTCAGTTTTATTTCCATGACTTATGACTCTAACAGAAACTATCGCGAAATTGTGCCAATTGTAAAAAATATTTCTTTTACGCAATTTCAGTTATTGAAACAAATATTTATTTAGTCTTATGCATTATGCTCTCTAAACGCTTGTAACAGAAGGAAAACAAAATACTGTCTATTGTCACAGTATTCATATTAACTACCCAAACAGGTCTTATAAAAACTTAGCCCCAGTTGTAGTAGTACTGTTACTATTTTTAATGCCATTTGTGCTTTTTTAAAATTCAGTAAATTGAATTAATGTTTTTCTTTTACTTAAATTGTTTTTTTTTAAATATTAGGCTAAAAAGATATTTGAAAATTAATGTAGTGAAATATCTTGAAACTGTAATAAATTTATTAAATAAAAATCAAAAGCTAACTTGTTGAAAGTCTACATTTTCAGCAATTTTCTAAAATCGCATCATCGCCAGCCAGTATATACCATCTCCAAATAGTGACGTCATTTTTGACCAATAGCGTTATCCGGCCACTTTGAAATTTAATTCAAGCTAATTTCGTTTCTAATGTATAAAACAATTGTTTTGCGTTAAGTTTGACATTTTTAATTTGAGTTGGTGTTTTAATTCTTTTATTTGTATATTTTTTCGAAGAAATTTTACCTCACACCTTCGGTATTTGTCTTGCTAACGTATTTGGAAGCGATTTTTTAAAAACAATTTTCGAATGATATTTTATCACACACATTTTTGCCAGGGTCGGTATAATAAACTGCATTCCAATAGCTAATTATATTATGCCATAAAAGAAACTACACTAGGTATTTCATAATTGCCGTACTTAATATATAATTTTAAAATCTTTGTCATAGAAGAAGGAAAAAATAGACATGCTGCGGTTCGCCAATTAATATACAAACGAAGAAACTTTCTGAGGAATCTATTGAAGATGAAAACATTAAAATTACCATAACTGGTTTGATTGCCTGGAGAAGAGAAAAAAATAATAATAAATAAAAATTACGAAATTCATCTGATAATCCAAGCAAATTTTTATGTTTTTAATCTTTTGATTAATTGTTTCATTTTTTCCTAGCTTTCATTAATAATTTACGACCCTTAATTTAGCTTACGTTTTTAACAAAGTTCTCTAAACATATACACTGAGGGCGTTAAATACATAACACACTGAATAAAACACATTCAAAGTATCTTAAAACGTAACTTTTTTTCTTGAACGTGGCATTTTATTAAATCTATATGAAGTTTAATAGGAAAAATTAAGCACTTTACTATGTGAGATAAAAATAAAAAATTTCTTACATTTAATCATGAAGTATGCTACAGATTTATTTTATGGCTGTTTCTGTTCTTTTAAGATAGCTGTTTGATCATAAAATTCAATCTGCATTAGTCTTTTTTGCATTTTTATCGATTCAGTTAAAATTTAGTCTTAATTTAAACAAAGCTAAACATCTTGAAAAGTGATAAACAATGATCTTCTAATTAACTATGCTTCACAGAGGAAAAAAGCCTTACTTACTTTTATGGTGCATAATATATTAATTTTATTTAAAAGAAACATAACATTGCTATTTGGAACATGGATTAGGAGCATGCGATTGAAGCGTCCTCTGCCTGAGGTATTCGTGATGCCATTCAATAAATGTTTTTTTTTTAAACTAAAAAGTTTTTTAAACTAAAAAGTTTTTTAATCTTCAATTCACTTATCAGATAATGATTTTGCTTTAAACTACAAATTAATTAAATTACAAAACATTTTAAATTCCGTGAAATTGTTAATCGAGTTATTCGATACTATAACCTGAATATGTGTACAAATTTATAAAATTTTATTTGAGCACTTGGTACTCGTTTTGAAGTGTGTAAAACTATTTAAAAAACATGGATATTTTTTTAATAATTACTTCATTCTTTCTCGAATAAAATTTCTTTATTTTATTGTGTAAAACATTTACATTTGTAAACCAAGATATGATGGAAATACTATAAAGAAGAATGAAATATCAACAACTTTACAAGTAAAAAAAATTTATGACTTTTATTTCAAAATAAATTTATAAGAGTCGTATTTATTTTTAAATTAAAATTACAGTTTTCAACTCACACTCACGTTTCATTTTGTAGTCAATATAACAAAAATAACAGTTTGAACTTCTCACATTGTATACGGAAACAGATGATATCACATCGCATGCTTAAGATTAGTGCTCCTACGAAACAAGGTAGTTACTGTAATTTTGTCATAACTTACGATAATTTAACAAAGACAGAAAGGTTTCATGTTATGACCTTTTATTCGTCTAAATAACAATTTCTTTATTTTTTAATATAATTTTGTTAGTTCTGCCTTTTTTTTTTCTTTCAGCATTCATTAGTTTTCACTTTTCAAAATTTCTCATAGAAAGAATAGTTATAATTTATAAGAATGAGGAATAGATCCAAGCCTTAACTCATGAATGAATATATTTTGTTTTTGCCTGAATGTACGAGTAAAAACTTACTTCAGTGCATACCTTAGTAATATCTTATCCTTGCATACCTTAGTTGTATTGTAATAGTATTTAATGCCAAGTGATTGTAAATGTCGGTATCAAATTTGAAGCCAAATGCATTGCGACCCACCAAGGGTTGAAAGTATATATTTATATATATATATATATATATGCATGTTTTTTTTATAATAAGTGAGTTGTTCTCAGTATTTAAGAATTACATTCTTCTGCACTTTCACCGGAAGTGCGCAACACCATTTTTTAAATTTATTTCAAATTGGTAACGATCCTTTGCAATCACACCTAACAAACAAATTTCTCATGTTTTTAGAAATTAGTTAATTAATGCCTTTTTATTATCCATATTATATACTTGCATATACTTCCTAAATACCAAGGATGACCGGTAAAGTTGAATGCAATAAAATTCAAGTTAGCATGTCACTAATTAAGCAACTACTCAAATATATTTCATCATAAACAGAAATTGCCTTGTCGACAATCGACCCCGTACGTTCATGAAAATTATTGAGTTTACATTCCTTGACCAGAAATAATGTAATTATTTAATTAAATTAAATACTTTTTATCTATAATTAATTAATTAATTTTAAATTTGTCCAAAGTGTTAAGTCGCTTATTTACACAAATATCAATACAGAAGGGAGCGTATTAATTTAATCAAAGGTAAATTAATGACGTATTGGACAGGTAAATGTTTTGGAGTATTTTTCATGAGATCGCTTTATCCTGTTGAAGGAATAATGAGGTCAAATTTAAGCTAGAAGTTACAATTCAAGGATAAACTTTGCAATATTTCATATATATGTGCCATAGTGAATAACCGGCATCAAGGGAATGTGGACTTTCGCCGGTGAATGTCAACAATCACATTGTCGCTCAACAATCGCATGTCCAAAATATTTGTTATAACCGATTTGATATTAATTTATTCGTTGGTATTATTGTATTTATTCGATATGTTAATAGGATAGATAAGGAGAAACATCAGTGTTCGAAGTACCGGTTAAATGCATACTGGGCAGTGGCACTTGACCTTAAAAGAAACATTGATGTAGGGCATACCAGACAAATGAATGTCAAACAGTGGCACTGAACCTTAAAAGAAACATTGATGTAGGGCATACCAGACAAATGAATGTCAAACAATGGCACTGAACCTTAAAAAAACATTCATGTAGGGCAAACCAGGCAAATGTATACTGGACAGACCTTCACTAGACCTAATATATATTTCAGACATTTTCCAAAGAGACTATGTGATTGTCAACAGTCAACATTCTCCGGCGAAAGTCAACAACCACCCATTTCGATCAGTCACAGTAACAAATATATATATATATATATATATATATATATATTTCTTCTTATAGTTGAACAATAAAATGTATAGCACNCACTTGAATATATATATAATGATGGGGAGCTTAGCTGAAAACAAATATGACTTTTAAAGCCTGAATGATTTGGTCATTTTGAAGGCCAGGAAACTCTCCGGATCTTAATTCTGATTTTAATTCTAACCCTGATCTTAATCTTTTGAACTATCTACACGAAAATAATTATAAAAACGGACTGCAGAACCAAAAAAGTCTTTTGAATTCAAAATTGGTTACAGAAATCAAGGAAATTGTTGATAACTGTCAAAACCTGGTAGGCTACTTTCGAAATCAAAGAGAGAGAGTATATTGAATAAATTATAAAGAGACACACGTAATAGAACTTCAAAAACAACAAAATAAATCAGGTCAAGTTGAAACGTGTTCTTAATTTAATTAATACGCTCGCTTTTGTAAAAAGATAAATTCTTTTTAACTGAAAAACAACAAATTATTGAATTTGTACGATGCCAAATTCAAGCATTATAGGAGAAAAATGTGTACTTTAAACAAGAACAAAATTTCGAAACTATTTAACTAAACTTACATAGATAATAATTTGAACCAACTTGCTTAACTTTACCACTCACTCCTGGTGCATGCAACTGAGAAATGTGTAGTAGACTCTTTACAAGTAGAAATAAAATTGGGCACGGATCTAGCCCTGTTTCTCTCCTGTTCTGTTGCAGCTCTGGTCAGGGCTATATCCTGTGCGAGCGATCAGCCAAGGACAACTTCGCTGAGCACGCTGACCAAATGACGCCAGATAGGAAAGAGCAGGGCTACGTCCCAGCCCGCCTAATGAAACTTCGTGCTGATAATAATTTTGACGAGTCAGACTGTTGACCCCATCTCTGCAGGGAGGACAAACTGCAAGAGTTGCAACGTCGGCAGCAAGACACTCCTCCCAAGTTGCCAGTGGAAAGCACCCGTCCACCCCCACCGCCGGGTGATGCGTCCACCTTCATTGAGCTCTCACCGGATAATCTGACCCGAGTACCGGAGAAAGGCATCCTGAAACACGGACGTCCGGACTGGGAAGACGGTGAAGATCCGGGAGAGGAGAACAACGTGGACTCATCCAGTGACGTGGAACGAACTCTTAAGAACATCAATGGCTACCACGAAGAGATCCTCGAGGCTCTGCATTCCGCGTCGCAGAGACTCGGCGACAGCAAACGCAGCCCATCTCAGGAGAGCCACAAAAGCTTGATCGACGCGAGCTATTCCACTGTCAACGTCGCCAAAGAACAAGATATAGACATGGACGAACCTATGCCGGTTCCGATCCGCATCCGGAACTTGGAAGATCTCCTGAGACAGTTGGAGCACCATCCTCTACAGCAGCACATGTCTCCGGCTTGCTCCGACGAGATCCGGTTGAGTGAGCCAGAGGCGGACAGGCACTACTTGCTCGGCAGGCAAGACCGGTCGGGAAGTGATGGCAAAGTGGATCCGGGCCTTCATTACCTTCTCGGTCGACTGCAGGCAAGTGGCGCCTCCTCCACCAAAAGAGGGCACTTCTCGAACGAAGAGGATGACGATGACGATCAAAGTGACGACGATGACGGAAGCACTTATTCTTCTCACCATCTGGTGAGGAGTGCCAGCGAGGAAGCTTTGCCTGTGACCACCAAAAGAGACTATTCGTATTCGAACAAATCTAGAGGCAAACGGGCTCCCGAGCCTTGCGATTATGCTCCGAGCCCACCTCCCTCTGAGGACTCGTATGCAAATTCTTCTGAAGAAAATGCCTTTCTGCCGCCTCCTGTTCCGCCCTCAGTGCGGGGCGCACGCACTGCCAAAGTAGAGCCAGAAATCCTGGGTCCGCCCTCCGCCATGTCAACTGGGTCGTTGCCATTAGGAGCTAAGAGAAAGGGAAAGAAAAAGTTTCCGGAATATAAGGTTCTATACATTTTTAAATTATTTTTTCTTTTCAAATTCATTATCAGGGTAGATATATTTTAGTATAGTTTATTTCGTTGAATGAGTTATTTTTACGTAGTTCGAAAATTAGCGAACTGTCCTCCCCAATCATTAAAAAAAATTAAGTTTAATAACTCTTTTGATTATATTCTTATTAGATTTGTACTCAAAAGTAAAGAATATACAATTTTCTTTGATAACTTTTCATTGATCCTAGCCGAAAATAAAGGTATCGTATCAAAAAAACTGTCCATTCAAAAATTTTATTCATAAAGCAGTTAAATCAATAACAATAAACTGTTGACACAACCTTGAGATAATTGAATTCGTGTTTTCATAAACCAAAAGTAACTTTCACCGAATTTACTAAGCGTAAAAATAAATTATCGACGCAACTTTCCAGCCACTAATTTAAAGCGATCTGAAATCCGGTAAAACTGGTAATTTTTTTTTACCTGAATCAGCAAAACTTGAACAGCAGTTTTCTCATCTATTGTTTTGATTCATAAAAACTTTTATGATACCGAAAGTGAACATAGTTACTATTTTTACTGCAGCCTTTAACTTAGAAATACACTATTTTTTACTGCAGTCTTTTACTCAGAAATGCACAATGTTTAAAATTCAACCCTAACTAGAAACTGAAATTTTCTTACGAACTGCGCAAGTGAGGGTGTTACAATACATAAGAGTACCAAATATAAATGTAAACAATTATTTAAAACATCGGTTCAAACTTCTACAATGTTGTAGTCATACATTTTCATTGGAATAAGAAATAGCTGCAATGCTTAAATACTCTAAATAAATCAGTTGCAGAATCATTAGCTATTTTAACTAATACTGAAAAAAATGAGAAAAATTAAAAAATGATGAAAAAAACTAAAATATTGATAAATTGTTACAGCTGAGTTTAATAACTAAATTAGAACCATGTCAATTTTTAGTTGTGAAGATTGTAAATTAAATAAATAAGAGTAATGAAATTACGTTAAAAAAAAGCCTCACAATTTTTGTTTAAATTTAAAGCAGTAAGTAAGTAATAAGAATTTAAATGGCAGGTTTTAATTCAACAATAACTAATAAAATTAGATGTAAGAAAAATGTAGTAAACGAATTAGAACAATTTAAATTTTTACAGATGAAGTTAAGCGCAAAATAAATTAGAGTCAAATCAATTTTGCTTATGAAATTAATATACGGGCAAAGTTCCACTGTAATTAGTCATTATATAATAAATAATTATAAATAAAATAAATAAGATTGTAAATAATGTAAATGAGCAGAATGAAATTATGTTAAAAAAAACTCTCAATTTTTGCTTAAATTTAAAGCAGAATGTTAGTAATATAATTTGAATGGATGTAAATTTTAATTCAAAAACTAATAAAACTAGATGTAAGAAAAATTTTGCAAATAAATTAGAAAATTTTACTGATAAAGTTAAACGCAAAATAAATTAGAGTCAAATCAATTTTGTTTATAAAATAAATATACCTGCAATAAATATAGTTCGAGAACAAGAAAAATGTTAAAGACTCTCATTTAATTAATATCTTATAACTCAGTAAAATTATTTTTATAGCTGCATAATGAATCCATTAAAACTTGCACAAAACCTATTATGCATTAAAAATTTCCTAAAATAAATGAAAGTGAGAAAGATTTTAATATTTAATTCAAATATTAAGGTTATCTTAAAAGACAAAGATTAAAAAAAAGAAATTGAAAAATTAAGTTTTATAAATATTTTAAAGCATAATCAAGATTCACTAAAACTTAGAAAATATTATTTATTATGTCACGTATTTCATATATCAAAAATGGAATTTTAAATAGTTCTTTTTTCTTTAAAAAAATATACTGAAAGTCACTTGAGATAAAACTGTAAAAAAACCTTAAACTAAAATTTTTTTTAAAAAAATTTTTGTTTCAAAGAGTATTAAAAAAATTTTTACTGGGGAATTTGTAAAAAATCATGAAAAAATTTTAGGCAACACAGATGCAGAAAAAAAAACTTTTTTATTAGAAAATTGCAAGGAAGGCCTAATAGAAAATTTTAAAATATTTTTTTTAGGTAAATAAATAATAATATTTCTTTTAAAATTGCCAAGAAATCACTATAGAGAAAAATAAACAATAGCTTAATCCAAAAAAGCGGATAAAAAAAATTTTTGAAATTTTTTTTTCTGAAATCAGTTTTTTATCAACAAAAAAATTACTATAAAAATCGACTAAAATTGATTTGAGAAAAAACAAAAACATAATGATAATAGACTAATAAAAAAACAATTTAAAAATACCTTAAGAGAAAAAAAAACTAAATATGTTGAATTAATTTTCAGAATCAATATTAATTTGTCCTGTAATTGACCACAAATCACTAAAGAGGAAAGATATTTTTACACTTACATTTAGCTAAACTAAAGGATCGATCATTTAATTATTGATCATTAATAGTTATAGTTAGTTATTGGTTTCAAATATAGATTCTTTCCAAAATCATTTTTTAAAAACAAATTTTTGCAAAATGTATAGAAATCATTTAGTAAAGTTATGAGGATTACTTAAGAAAACGAAATGCATAGAAAATAATTTTATATATTTTTTTTTCAATCAAAACTATGAAAAAACTTTTTTTTAAATTCAAAATTGGCTATCTATTATGTATTTACCCTGATTCTCGAACATATTTGAAAAGAAAAATAATTTCTATTCATACTCGAATATGAATAGCTATGTGGGCTATAACTTATTTCAAGTGCTCAAATAAAACTTTTTACGTTGTTTGAATGCACACCACGCTATAATTAATTTTCTTAAAAAAAAAGAAATATGCGATCATGACTTGGAGACAGATTTTATAATGTATCAATTAGCTGAGTATTAAATTTCAAATAATTCACTTATAAATTACAAATCACGCATTTTATATGTCTAGAAAAATTAAGAAATTTGTGGTTATAAAAACACGAAAGAAATATTCCATCAATGAAGAAAATTGGTAAAATACTCAACACATCTTTAAACTCCATGTTTCGTTAATTATTTATCATTTTCGGCTAGGATCAATATATGTTTTAATAACAGTTTCTATAAATTGTAGAGTCGTTAAATTTATACATGGTAATGTTTCTTATGAAATAAAATTTAATAAGCTAATATATAATTTTTAAATTGATTTAAGGGTAAAAAAATAACGATATTCTGTTTAAAAAAATTCTACTTGCAGAACATTATTTCCAGAAAAAACACTTTAAAAAAAAAATCAATATTTCTGAAATTAACTTGTATTTATAATGTGAAATCGCAAAGCAAAGAGCAAAATGCTACAATGGCGATTTCTATGTAGCATTTTCGACGTTTTACAGTGAGCAAAACGTCGTCTTTCTCAGAACTAATGATTTAACTAGATATTAATCGTAGACAGAAATTATTGGCGGCAAAGAAGACTCTTTTGTACGAAATGGCGTAGTTGTAAGAATTGTTGTTGCCCTATTTTAAATAGCATTGCAGCTTCACTCTGTTCTGGATTCAAAATCTCAGCAGCTTTTGATTTGTTTACTATGTCTTCAGCCAACCGGCCTGTGTAGGGGGCAGGGAACTGTTCTTGCATTAGAAAGGTACTGGGTTCGAATCCCGGGCAAGGCATGGATGTTTCTTTCTCTCTCTGTGTGTTCTATGTCCTTTCTCCTTTGTGTGTGAATGTGACCCGCCCTATAAACGGGTAGTGGTTGTGTGAATGGCGTGGCAGAAGTCGAATTCCAGGCCATAGATGGTGCCACTGAAAAACAGGAACAATCGCACCCCCACTGCCTAAACAGGCAAACGACAAAAAAAAACTATGTCTTCAACAATAAAGATTCTTTATTATGTTCTCTAATTCAAACAAACGCTCTTTGTTTTCCGATCCCTGATTGAAACTTGCCTTTCAGTTAAGACCATTCGTTTTGTAAAAACATGTCGTAGTACGGCAGTTATATTTTATATCCGTCGTTGAACAGCCGACCATATTTCGGGTTTACGACTACTAATGTTCAACTCCGTAGCTTTGTAATTTTGAACGCAATCCAGGAGACAAGAAAACTCCTGGATCAGTAGCCCCAGAGGTATTGATTTGTTATGGGAACATGGAAAACTTAGCTACTCGACAGATTTAACCTGCATCAATGACCAGTTACTACACGGGGAGTCCTCTTCCGGCCTGGGATCGAACCCACGAACTCTTGAACATGGGCCCATTGCTCTACCAACCAGGTTCAAAGTTCCCCCTGATATTCTGTCAGCTTGTGATATTTCGACTTAAGATTACAAATGATGGAGTAATGATGGCTTCGATTTCCAGTTTTTTTTATTCATGCAGATCGATACATATTGATAGACGTAGAATTGATTTTTCTAATAAACTTGATATCAAGGAATATTATATTCTTGTCATTACAGATCTTACGTTTTCAACTCAGCCTGCATTAAATAGCATTTCGTCCTTAAAAATAAATAAATCCCATTATATTCTATTCGTCAAATTAACTGAACGACATTCTGACTTAGAAATATTAAACCCCAATGAGTGATACTATTATGATTTTTCATACTTCCAGATGTCATCTTTTATTCTCTTCACTTATCGTACCTTTTCAACTCAAGTTTACCCCTACATTAAATAACGTTTTAACCTTAAAAATTAATCCACTTATAGTTTTATTTTCATCTACTTAATCTAAATCTACTTAAGTTTTCCATTATATTATATTCGTCGAATTAACTGATCAACATTCTATCTTAGAAATATTAAATGCTAATTTTTTTATGTTTTTTTTCATACTTCCAGATGTCATCTTTACGAGCCCAGCGATGGTAACTGCCCTCCTGACCATCCAAGGTATCCGCTGCCTCACATCACAGAAGGTCCCGAAGGAGTGTGCTAAGTGGCCAATTTCAAGTCCTCGACTGCAAAATTTCAGAGGGAAAAAAATCACTTTCATAATTGAAGGAAATTTGGCTCATCCAAGCATGGTTTCATACATTAGCTTTCATCCAAGCCGGAGAACAAAGCTTCCGCCAGAAATAAAAGAACGTTGTTCTTTGTGCAAACTTTTTAACACAAATATAAAAATGGCGCTGAAGGAACTAAAAAAAAAGAGAGACAAATTAGTGAAAAATTGTGATAGATGGCATATTAGTTTGGCGATTTTTATTGGATGGATATTTTTGTTTCTTTCGTCTCGTTTTTTTTCTTTCTTCCGGGACCATGTGTCGAAAAACTGCTAAGCGCTGTAGTTCTTTCAGCGCTCTAGTTAATAACTAAAACGATCCATTTCAGATCTTTCCAGTTGCTATTTTCGTATAGTGTGACGTCACCAACCTGGTTTGTGACGACGCTCCTAGTTTGTGACGTCATCATCGATCACATACTTCCACATTTTCTTGATCATAGAGATTCTTCCTTATCTTCAATAGCCGTCGTTCGTGATTATCATTACGATTCGTCGAAGTCCTTCTATAGATTCTTCACGAATGTATGCATATAGAACTTTTTTTCAAAACTTGTTCTTTAAATGTATTGAAGCGTATATTTATGACATGGTGACTTATACATATGCTCAACAATTTAATTAAATGATGCATCGTATATATATAGACAAAAGACCCACTTACATTATAAAAGACAGTTATTCCCTTAATAGTTATTCCCATTTATTCCCACTGATTTAAGCCTTAAAGTAGGCTTAAATCAATGGGCCGCCAATTTTAGGCTTAAATCAACTACCGCCATCTTTGAAAGCCAACATTTTAACCAACAAGTCTTGAAAAAATAAGTTCTGAAAGCTTCCTTATTAATGAAGCACAGCTTATAAATAATGGAAGTGGGTCTTGATTATAGACTAAACGTTCAACTTTATTATTGGCAGACTCCAACAAAATAAATACAATAAAAGGCGGAGTAGAATGCTTTTTTTTCTTTCTAGTCTATAATACAGTACTATACTTAAATAATCAGATAATAGCGAATACGAGTTTCGCATTTTTAAGTTGTGTAAAAATTTAAACAGATATAAATTTGAAATATTTTTTCTAACAAGAAAATGTCTACTTAATGGTTTCATTACTCGTTATGAGAGCATAACTCAGTAGACTGAAAAAATCATAATAAATAAACCTCATCAAAATACCATTAAATAGGTGTTAACAAAAAAGGTTGTCAAAGTTATGTAATAATGACAATGTATAAGTGTTGTCAACAATCAAATGTTGCAACGTAAATTAAGCATTCACGATTGAGTATAATATATTTTTTCTATGATTGTTGTCCTTCCGTAGAAAGTCACCGAAATTTGTTTTTAAATTATAATTTAGAACAATTTAACTGATTACGACTCAGATAAATAACCTATATATACTACTACTTAGAATTGTTATTTCTACTTTATTCTTTAACATTGTATTCCACTTTTGGTGTTAGTTAATAATAACAATCCATAAAGATTATGAATATTTGAAAATCATTTTCAAATGGGTCCCAATATTTTAAACAACTGCTGTTGTTTAAAAAAGTAACCTTAATATATATATATAACAGAAATTTTGGCTTAAACTGAAACTGTTTAGTTTCGAATTTTCATTAGATACAAAATGTTACTTCATTAATAGAAATTGCTCTTATTTTGTTTTCATTTTCAACGTCGCAGAATTAATCTTCTTAGATGATACAGTATTAATTCCATTTAACAGAATTTAGCAAAGAATAAAGTTATCGCGAATACATGCGTTTTAGAACTGATTCTTAATGTTGCGGTGCCGGGGCGCAGATTAATTTATCTTTTAAAGTAACTAAGTATGTAAGTACAACTCTACAAAATACTTTTTAATAATACGTATTGATTAACACGCATAAAATGTAAAGTAACTAGCTAACATACATGAAGCAAATCGGCGACATGAAATAGCATTAAGCAACTTTAAAATTGCTTTACTTTTATAAAGAGCCTGTTATTTTGTAGCTAATTTTTTCCCTAAAATTTTTTCCCTATAATTCCCTAATAAATAGAACAATGATACCAAGATTATATAGAATGTTACACGAGTTTTAAATAATTAATGCAATATTTCAAATTGTTTTACTATTTACATTAAATAGTTACTGTTAGAACTAACACTTAGAGAAAGATGTACAAAAAATATTGAAATTATTTGTTGATAACGTAAAAGTATTTATTTTTAAAAAAATGTTTCTTTTCCGCAATAAATCTGCATTTTTACTTATCGACTGCAGATCGTAATGTCCCATACTTTGTTCAAAAGAAGAAGCTCATATTTTATTATGTTAGTTAATTTATACTGCAGTTTGAATGTAGTTTATAATAAATGAATAATTTTTAAAGAAATGGAAACCATTAAACCATTTAAAATGTCTGAAAAATTTATTCAGAAATACATTTTCACTTAACGTCTCAATCCTTTACTTCATTTTGAATTCTCTTTGTACAAAAATTACATGTTTGTTCTTCTAAGAAAATTGAAAAGGTGTTTTTTTTTTAACGGAATATTCTTTTCAAAATAGTTTGCCAAGAACAGACTATGAAAATCTGTATTGACGAGGTTAGAAAAAAATGGAGAAGTTAGTTATCCTTTTATCCTTTTCAGAGTTTGTTGAGATGTTATAATATATATATACAACAAAGAATTATAAAATAAAATAAAATAGAAAAACGTAAAGGTTCTTCAGGACACATTCCTTTACGATGGTAAATGCAATATTTCAAAATAAGGAATAATTATCCAAAGAAAAAAATTATTCTTTATAATGCGTCTGTATTGCTAAAAAATGAAAATGTAATTGAAAATGAGTTTGAGATTAAAGAAAGCAGAAAAAAAATTTACCGATGTGGAGTAAAAAATAAAATGCCTTAAAAAATAGATATACCAATCTAACAGTTAACAAAAATTCGGTAAGAAGAAAAAGATGCTTATAGCTTGATGCTTAAACAGTGCTTATAGCTTGAATCGCATAAAATAATACTTAAAAATAAATAAATTTGAAAAAATATGAAGCAAATTAGATTTCAGTGCTGACATCTATGAAGAAACACTTTAGTAAAGAATATTTGGAAAATTTAAGTAACAAAATTAAAATTAATTTAAAAAAAAAAAAAAAAAACTAAGATTACATTTTTAAAAAGAACTTTTACATTTGTAAATAAAATAAATCAATAGATAAGATGAAATTATTACTGAGCATTGGAAATTTATCTATAAAAAATATATTGTTTAAAAAATGACATTACCTAAACCCAGAAATGACTAATTATACGTCATAGAACTTTGATTTGAACAACATTGGAAATAGAAAAAATTTCTATTATTTGAAGATTCTTATCAGATGTTTTCAGTCAACAGTAAATGTTTTAGAAACTATTTAAAAGATAATCATAAAAATATGTGGAAGATTATGCACCATATTTTTAAAAACAAAAATAATGGGTGGCTTAAAATGAAGTAAAATTCACTGTCTACCATGCCAGGAAAAGTTTTAAAATTTTCACCCGCTTGTCGGGCATGTTCATGTACAATGTATTAGCCCAAACATCTTTTACGAATGCATATTAAAAAAAATATATAATTACATTAACGTTTTTACGAGTTTATTTAAATAATTTATTAAAATTATTTAAATAAACTCTCACTACCGCATAATCTTCCACACTTAATAAGAAAAAAACGAAGCAACTTTGGAAATATAAACTTTAAGTAGGAATGAATTTTTTAAAAAAACTTTGCATTGTAACAAATAATAACCTACTAGGACATTATCGAATTTCACGTAAGATTGAAAACAGATGAAAAGAAAATTAAAAGAAATAAAACAATATCACACCCGCCTTTGTTTTTAAAAAAATTTTTATAATTTTTTTATATACCGCGATTGGAGATTTATATAAAAATAATCATGATTGAGAAATTAAAAAGAATAAAGTAACTTAGCCGTATAAATTCTTATTTATAATCAAAATTTGAGGGCTTCGTTGCTATTTTAATGCATACCTGATTAAGTGAATGTTATTTTCGAATTATGCTGTTAATAAGCGAAATACATATCAAGCAAAATATTAAATTATCATTCAAAAAAATGTTAGTTTATGAAATCCGTTAAAAATGAATCTAAAGTTATTCGATTATAAAACTAATATATAAAGTGAAAGGATGTGTATGGATTATAGCTGATATATACTGTGAAATGTACATTTTAAGCTGTAAATACATCTTTAGTGTTTGTTGAATTATTGTGAATATGTATTGATAATGTACTAAATCCTTTTTTCTTCCCTCAGATTTCTTCTTTTAACTGTCTACAAAAATTTGGTGCTTTATTTTATTTTATCAATTGAAAAATGTAATACATTTATTTTCATTAAATAAGTTTAGATTAGTACCATGTACTTCCAGAATATAGCACAATAATTAATGGTGCTTATTTGAATATATGTGTTCTAATTATGTGTGTTTAGTTTTTGTGTGTAACGGATGCTTCGATTGTAGTACTGTGGTGTTTTATTTCTTTAATGGAAGTACATGAATTAAAATATTAATAATAAAAAATTATAATTTTTTTTTCTCCGCAAAATGTACAATTATGAAATAAAATTTTTAACCCAACGTAAATTAAACAAATTAAAATCTTTCTGGAAAAAATCAATGATTAAAATAAAACTTAATTCTAAAAAAAATTATTAAAATGTCTATAAAAAAAATAATGGTTAAAAAATTTTACGTTTAAAGTACAACGCTTACCAGGATATGGATGATTGACTGAATATAAACAATAACAAGTTTCCTAAAACCGGAAGTAAATTTAGAAAACTTCCAGTGTATCCCTCCGCTTATGTTACGAGGCGATGTGTGAACAGGCTAGGAAGTTTTATTATTGCGATTTGTGTTTAAATATACGTATATTTAACCGTCCGTAAGAATTTTCTGTAATTTATAAATTCTAAACAGATCGCGAGCCTAAAACAAAATTAATATAACAGCATAAATAAAGTTAGCCATGTTTTGGGTGTTATCCCTTATTTGGCTATATTTGTGTCAAATAGCACCGTTTATTATTTTTTGGGTAACATTATGGCAAGCTTGCGGAGTCTTCCGAATTTATTTGTTGTTTGTTTCGATTGAAAGAACGCGTTATATTGAAAACACTTCAAGCATAATAATATTGGATGGCGCGTTTTTTCAAACTTTTTTAGGCGAGAAAATCAGTCGGAAGTAGCAGCACTTACTATGAATTTCAACCCCCTAGCGTCATTTGCGCTTAGAGTCAATTATTTCGAAACTATTTTCGAAATTATTTAGAAACATTTTTATGTGATGTGGATTCAGCAATTATTAAAATTATGCAAACATGTTTCGGATGATTTAAGAAAAAGAAAAAAAAATCAGATTGGAAAATGAAATCCACTTTTCTTTTTTGTTTGAGTTATTATGTTTCATTTAATTCTATATTGTGCCATATCCATGTTGCTTTTATATTGCCTCCCATATTGATTATATACTGCCCATATTCATATTCAGCATCATAGTATTTAAAAAATTGAGGCGAGAACAGAAATTCATTATGGAACATTCTTTCTCACTTTTCAAATTGAAGTTAGAACTGAAATTCATTCTGGAACATTCCTTCTAACTTTTCAAATTGCAGTTAGGACAGAAATTCATTCTGGAACATTCCTTCTAACTTTGCTAAAAGAAAGTAAAATTGTATTTTTGAAAGGAAAAAAAACTGTAAAGTCAGTGTAATTTTTATTTCACTGAAAAATAAAAATTATGTGGATATTTGGCGATAATTCAAACTATTTGTAAATTATATGGTTTGCCTCATCTTTGCATAATTTGTAGATAATTGTAATAAATTATAATTCCTTCATAAAATAAATTATCTCATCTACTTATTTTGCATAAAGGAACTGTAAGTAACTTACAATTTTAAATGCTTCTTCTTACTCCGGGAATAGTTCTTAAAATTATTATTTTATAATATATATATTTACGGCGCACGATGGCTGAGTGGTAGTTCTTCGCTTTCTCAAGTCATAGATCCTGGGTTCAATCCTCGGGCCAGCCAAGTTCACTCAAAATGTTCATCATTTCAATAGGTCGATAAAATTAGTACCGAGCATCCAAGATCAAGAAGACTGAGATAAGCACAGAAGGCTTTGGCCCTCTGTGGGCTGTGGCACCGCTGAGTTTAGTTTAGTAAATATTTATGTTTAAAATAATAAATATTTCATTTTTATTCTATTATAAGAAATCAAATTGACTAATTATAATCAATAAATAGTGCTGTGGTTCGATAAAAAATAAAGCAGCTAAGTTTTTAGATGCTTGAATGACGTGAATATTGATTACAAGGCACAAAAATTAGACAAACAAATTTTAATTCTTCATCTCAATTGCAAATAAAATTTTCTCAATGTTGTTTATTTCAGTAAAGACAGTTAATTTTTTTGAATATGTTCACATAGTCAACCCTTGTGAGTCTTTGAACAGTTATTATCTGTAAATAATTAAGTAGAACGATAATTAATGATCTGTTACTGTAATAAAATTTTTCTTTTAACACTTTGTATGTTTTTCTTAATGGTCTCTCGTTATATTAATTTCAGATATTCTATTTAATTCTTTACTCGTTTCATGTGAAGAAATGAGCAACCAAAAATACCTGTCTAAATATAAATTATAGACATATTAATTAAAAGTTCAAAGCATACAGAACATAATTCTAAAATTAATCAAGTAATGCAACATTTTTTGGAAGTCAATAAAAACAGTGTGATTTCGAAAACTAATCAAATGATAGCTGGTTTGAGTACCTAACCTCATTGGTTCAAGTACTGATCTGAAAATTGTGTTGATCCTAAAATTGATCAAATGATACTGGGTTCAAGAACCGATGAAAAGGCAAAGAGTTAGAGTAAGGATCAAATAATAGAGGGTTTTTGAATATTAATAATAATAATACAGTTTACCAGTTTAAAATATCTTGAAAATTATCAATGATTATGTCAATTTAAATTAGCTAACAATATAGGTTGTTGTAGTTCATTTACGTCGCACTAGAGCTGCACAATGAGCTATTGGCGACGGTTTGGGAAACATCCCTGAGGATGATAAGAAGACATGCCATCACAATTTTGATCCTCTGCAGAGGGGATGGCACCCCCGCTTCGGGTAGCTCAACGACCTGCACGCGAAGTTGAGCACTTTACGGTAGCACAGTTTAACGAGGACCAATACCGCACACCCTCGGTCCCTACGCAGACTGATCCAAGTGGTCACCCACCCGCA